CAAAATGCTAAATAATGCTTGAAACCGTAACCGTCCGTTTCCGCAAACTCCCACAACCGCAACCGCTACGTTTAAACCAGTCAAGCCCTTACTTGTAATGTTTACCCTTTGGATAAAATTGGATACAAATCGAATTAGTTAAGAACTATTGCAATAAAATATTATAAGATTTATTAAGCGTTATCATAGATCTTAATGAATAACTAAAAATCATTTGAGTAACGTTCTATACTCCTATAACAAACAAACAAATCTCTTAGCCTTTTACGCCTCTTCAACATATAAATCAAGTATGCATATGGAACATTAAAATCAAAGATGATCATTCCATATAACATATTTTCAAGTATCTAAGTCATGAGTTCTATACAGCTATGGCATCTCCATATATATATATAAGTCCGATCGAATCAAATATCATAACTTTTGTCAAAAAATAAAAGCTCAACGATTTCATCGACGATATATTCAAATCGGAGAAAACAAAAACGGAAACTTGAGAAAAAAATAAGAGGAAAGAAAGATATTTACTTGTGGGCACTGAATTCAGATTCCAATTACATCAATCGCTGAGAAAAAGACGTAGGAGATTTAGAGTTCGATTGCGGAACACCGCCATAGCTCCCCCGCACTCCGGTGATAGAAACTCTTTTAGACATACAGTGAAACAATCGTCTCTTATTGGCTCCCATTATATCCCCAGATTTTTTAAAATCTTGCTAAACTATAAAGAATTTCCAAAATTAATTTGGTTTCTTTCTAAAATCAATTTGGAGAAAATATAGAGCCCAATCAACATTTATTTACTTTCCATTATTATTCTGTCGTAGATAATTTTATATCTTCTTCTTCGATTCTTTTTTTTTTCGGGCAAATCTCATCGCGCAACTCCATAACACACAGCTCCGTTTTTCTTAAGTGTAATAAATTAACAAGTTTTTCATATCTCTCGTGTGTGTAAATTAACAACTCCATAACACTTTTATCATTAGACTTGCTTCCATTATTTTCTTTTGTTACTAAACCTTAATTCGATTAATTAATTTATTTTTAACATAAATTTCCAGCCATGATAAATGTCTTTTGTGTTCTGTTTTTTTTCAGCAATGAATGTCTATATGTTTAGCCATAACATAAAAAGATAAGTGTAATCTATTTACTTATGTATAAATAATTCTAAACTAATTAGAATACAACCTCTATATTCATTTTGCATACTTAATCTTAATCTCTATATTTGATTTCTTTATTTTACGATTTAGTTTCCTTTTTAAAAAAGATGTTCTAAATTACTTAGAATTTGTTTTCTATTTTTTTGTAGAATATATAAGAAAAAATAAGAATATGTTTTCTAACTATTTTAGAACATGAGTAAATGTTAGAAAATATATTCTAATTTTTCTAGAAGAAAGAGCAAAGTATAGAATATGTATTCTAAATACCGTAGAAATTAGCATTCTAAATACGGTAGAATAGAAATAAATTCTAAATATCGTAGAACATGTAAAGTGCGTAGAATACATTATCTAAATTTTATAGAACATGTACAATGTATAGAATACACATTCTAAATTCAGAATGTGTGTTCTAAACTTTGTAGATCATATTTTACTCATCCAAAACGGTACCTAAACGACATATTTTCGATGTTATAAGTATCTTCATGACTTCTTCATCATTTACCTACCAATTGTTCTGAATTTTATTTAAAAAATTGGTTAATGTTGTGAAACTTATTGTTTTCTCTTCTCATTCCATGAATAATGATACATATATATAGGCATATAAACCTAGGGTTTTAGAGTACATAATGAATAACCCTGATGGGCTTATTGGGCCCGGTTATAAGTCCAATATGATGTATTATAACACTCCCCCTTGGACGGAGTAACCGGACCTGATGGTCAATCGGGATCTCGATAATACGCTGGGGAATGTTGCCTCATTAAAACCTTACCAGGAAAACCCAGTGGGAAAAACCATGGTGAAGGAAAAAGAGTACAACACGCATTACTCCCCCTGATTAGAGCATCACCGTAGATCTCTAAGTCTACGCATTCCTATTTGTTGGATGAGCTTCCGGAGTGTTGAAGCGGGCAATGATTTGGTGAAAAGGTCGGCGGAGTTATCGCTTGATCGGACCTGTTGAACGCTGATCGTACCATCCTTCTGCCAATCCGAGGTTGAGAAGAATTTAGGTAGGATGTGCTTCGTCCGATCTCCTTTGATATAACCTTCCTTGAGTTGAGCAATGCAAGCCGCGTTGTCTTCAAACATAACCGTGGGCTCCTTATCTTCTTTCATACCACAATCTGATCGGATGTGCTGAGTCATGGATCGTAGCCAAACACATTCTCTGCTGGCTTCGTGAATGGCCAAAAGTTCTGCATGGTTTGATGAAGTGGTAGTGATTGTCTGCTTTATCGATCTCCAAGAGATAGCTGTTCCTCCATGCGTGAACACATAACCAGTTTGAGACTTGGCATTGTGCGGATCTGATTGATATCCTGCATCAGCAAAGCCAACTAGTCCATCCTTGTTGTGGTTAGTGTAAAACAGTCCTAAGTCTTTAGTACCTTGAAGGTATCTTAGGAGGTGTTTGATACCATTCCAGTGCCTCTGAGTTGGACATGAGCTGAAGCGAGCTAGGAGGTTCACGGCAAAGCAAATGTCTGGTCTAGTGTGACTAGCCAAGTACATTAACGCTCCTACAGCACTGAGGTATGGCTTTTCTGGACCGAGAATTTCTTCATCGTCCTTCTTGGGACCGAGTGGATCACTGTCCAATCCTAGGCTCCGAACAACCATTGGGCTGGTCAATGGGTGGGCCTGGTCCATGTTGAATCGCTTGAGTACTTTTTCAATATAAGCCGCTTGATGCACAAGGATTCCTCCTTTGACGTACTCAAGTTGTAAACCCAAACAGAATTTAGTTTTACCTAGGTCTTTCATTTCGAATTCTGCTTTCAAGCAGTCGACTGTTTGGGAGATTTTACCAGATGTTCCGAGGATGTTTAGATCATCCACGTAAACTGCTATGATTACAAATCCTTTGTTTGAGTATTTCTTGATGAAAATGCATGGACTGATGGGATCGTTTTTGTAGCCTTCTCTGATGAGATATTCACTTAACCGGTTATACCACATACGTCCACTTTGTTTCAGTCCATACAAGGATTTGTTCAGCCTGATGCAGTATTGATCTCGAGATGCATGCTTATCTTTAAGCTCTATGCCATCTGGTAATCTCATGTATATTTCATTGTCCAGGGGCCCATAGAGATATGCGGTGACAACATCCATTAACCGCAAATCTAGATTTTCTCTTATGGCCAGACTTATGAGGAATCGAAAAGTAGTTGCATCCACCACCGGAGAATAAGTCTCCTCATAATCGATTCCGGGTCTCTGTGAGAATCCTTGTGCTACAAGCCGTGCTTTATAACGAACAACTTCACCGAGTTCGTTTCTCTTATGCACAAAGACCCATTTATGGCCCACTGGTTTGACATTGAATGGTGTCCGGATGATCGGATCAAACACATTCCTGAGTTTGAGACTCTTTAACTCCACGTTTATGGCTTTACAGAACATAAGTTCGGTTTAGTGGTTTAAAGTTGAACCGGAATATTAGATTCTGGTTTAAAGTTGGGCCGAATTGATTTCCGGTTTAGAATAACCAGTTTGAACCGGTTTACCCAGATTGAGATCCGGTTATTATTTTCGGAACCGGTTTGATAATCGGTTTAACCGATGAACCGAATTGATATTCGGGTTTAGGGGTTAACCAAGAATGATTTCCGGTTTAGGGGATACACGAATTAGGGTTTTCGTTTCTCTTTGAGGAAAACGATTTGAATTTTGCGGTTTTCAAACGCAAAACGTTTTTAGGGTTCATGCGATTTTAGGTTTTGATTTCTATCAATTTATGCATGCAATCAATCATAGAAATAATCAATCTAAACAACCTAAACAACCTCAATCAATCGATTTATATTTTAGGGATTTCGGATTTGATTTGATTTAGGTTTTAAGGTTTCAGCCATGGCTAAGTGTTTTCGATTTTGAGAGTTAGGTTTAAGCAATAACTTTTCTAACAACTTAAACGAGTCAAGCAATCGAATCATACAAGCAAAAGCAATCACTTAATCAATCATTATCCGTTTTTAAGATTTCGCTTTGCATTAGGTTCAAGTTCGATTTTTGATCTTTAAGCTTTTAAGGTTTTGTTTTTACCTTTCACCAATTGGGGTTGAACGGATTGAACCGGGAGCTTAAGACCTCGGTAACTCACGCTGTCGATGAACAGTACCGATGAACAGTGTCGATGAACAGTACTGATGAACAGTGTCGGCGTGAACAGTGTTTTGCGATTTTTAGGGTTAGGGTTGTTAAGAGCAAACTCGTGCTGATAACGTGTTGTGAAACTTATTGTTTTCTCTTCTCATTCCATGAATAATGATACATATATATAGGCATATAAACCTAGGGTTTTAGAGTACATAATGAATAACCCTGATGGGCTTATTGGGCCCGGTTATAAGTCCAATATGATGTATTATAACAGTTAAATCAATTACAAAGGGTAGATTAGGAATATGTGATATTTGGTCATAGAATGCATATATGGACAATAGTTTAATTATTTATCCTTAATTTTCAATTTTCCCAAAATTTAAATCACTGGTTTGAAATAAAAGAACAACCAAAAGTCTTTAACCGACGTTTGTAAAAATAAAATAAAAAAGTCTTGAACCGACGCCAACCGAAAATAATCGACCGGAGATAGTGGCAGAACCGTAATAAACTAAGAATCTAAGGGTATAGTTATTTCTTCTTATTATGCAATCGTGGATCTGGTCTGGCAGAGAGATTAAAAGGGTTATTAAAAAAAAATTGAAAAAACAAAAAAAAGCTAGCGGCCAAAATCTCAGCCATCCAATCTCTCACTGGTCTCTTGCAATCTCCCACTTCTCTCAATCTTCATCTTCCACAATCTCCAAATCTCCGATCGAATCTCTCTACTCAGCCGTATGTTTTCACTTCTTATCGTGATTGATTCTTTCATGTTGGGATTTTGAAATCGCCGAATCTCAAAACCCTAATTCTGAGTTTGTCGATTTATTTCCGGAGTAGTTTTAAGATCAACGTGATTTTTACTGATTCGGATTGGAGATTTTGGATTGTTTTGATTGCCGTCGATATGTTTTTCCGATTGTATTGTTCGTTGACGCGTCTCTCATTGAACCGTCGCGTCGCATGCACGGATTAATTTCGATCTGAATTTTTTGAATCTTTGGATTAGTGAAGAATATTAGTTTCGTGATCGGGAAAACTGTTATTAGTGAAATTGTCGATCATTTTATTATCTATACACGAATGTAGCCAGTTGCGGAAGTACTAAAGTTTAAAGTTTATGTAGTTTTGGTTAGTATGGTTGCTTTTGCTTGTTTGTCTTCTGATTAATTTGATTCCAGACTTTTTATCTCTGTCTTATTCAGGAAACAATGAGTGATTACGGTGAAAAGACTTGCCCATTGTGTGCAGAGGAGATGGATTTGACTGACCAGCAATTGAAGCCCTGCAAATGTGGCTATCAGGTCTAGACATCCTTTCTGATTTACATTGTTTTTTTTTTGTGATCAGGATTGAAAATTAGGTTCAGTTATGCTTTTTATGTTTTACTTTCAAGGCTGTATTGTGGTATATACTTAGATACGCTAAAATCTATGACTCAAAAGTTTTGTGTTTATACTTATTGTGGTGGCCTCAGAGATCGTTGACCGTTGTTCTGCTGGTAATTTTCTGATCTGATATGTATTTACCTCCAATCTTATAGATTTGTGTTTGGTGCTGGCACCACATAATGGACATGGCAGAGAAAGATCAATCAGAAGGGCGCTGTCCAGCTTGCCGCACTCCATATGATAAAGAAAAGATTGTTGGGATGACTGTTGATCACGAGAGGTTGAGATATGGCACCTGAGATGTGAACTTTTGTTCTATGTTAGTTTTCGTTTGCTCATGTTTCTTATCTATTTCCTGTTCTCAGACTGACCTCTGAAGGCAATATGGATCGCAAAAAAACACAAAAGTCAAAATTGAAACCTTCTGAAGGGAGAAAGCCGCTAACAAGTGTCCGAGTGGTTCGGAGAAATCTTGTTTACATTGTTGGGTTGCCCCTAAATCTAGCAGATGAAGATGTACGTGCTTTTTTCCTCTAAAACCTTGTAATTATATCATATGATCTACTTAGTGACGGGAATGTTTCTTTTTTTCTTTTCAGCTTCTCCAGCATAAAGAGTATTTTGGTCAGTATGGAAAGGTTCTAAAGGTTTCCATGTCCCGAACAGCAACAGGTCTCATCCAACAGTTTCCTAACAACACATGCAGTGTGTGAGTTTTGTCTTTTTCTAGTGTTAATCAACCAAATTTCACTTTTTAGCATGAATGGATTCCTTACATGTTTGTTTTGCATTATTATTATGTTCTGATTATAAACGGCTATTAATCCAGATATATCACTTATGGCAAAGAGGAAGAGGCTGTTCGATGTATTCAATCTGTTCATGGGTTTATCTTGGATGGTAAAGCACTGAAGTAAGTCATGCCGAGCACCCTGTTGTATAAAAATGATTGTGTACAATGGTAACTATCTCCATTGACTTTATATTTATTTTTCTTTTATATACTGCAGGGCATGTTTTGGGACCACAAAGTATTGTCATGCATGGTTAAGAAACGCGGTATGTCCTATATGCACTCTTGTTCTGCTCTCTGGCTCCCAGAATTTTTCTTTCAGCTTTCTTCTTTTCAGTTGAAATTTGCAACTGATATTATTGGAATATGGATTGTTTTTTTCTGTTCCCAGGCATGCAACAATCCTGATTGCCTCTATTTGCATGAGGTTGGCTCTCAGGAGGATAGTTTTACAAAAGATGAGATCATATCAGCTTATACAAGGTAATCTTCATTGTCATATTGTTAAGTTTTTTCTCTTGTACTCGTGATTATTCTTAGTGTGCTATATACGTGGAGAAAATGTAGTGTAATGGAGGTCAGGTATTTTAGACGATTAGTTAATTCTTTTTGTAATTTTGAATGAGCAGAGTTCAGCAAATCACTGGAGCAACAAATACTATGCAATACCGTTCAGGGAGCATGCTACCTCCACCATTGGATGCTTATAGCAGTGACAGTTCTACTGCAAATCCAATTGCAAAAGTTCCTTCTACTGTAAGCTCTATACTTACTTTACTGTGATATAAGGTGCTATTTGGCTTGGTCATTTGTATCAAAGAAACTTATTCTTATATCATGTGGCCTTAGTTATAGTCATATATGAGTAAATGCATACTGAATGTTGCTCACTATAAACTTGGATGGATGTGCAGCATTCCCTAGAAACTTATCTCTGCTATAGCCACAAATAGTGTAAATGTGTTTTCTTACAATATGCTATTTTCTTGACTTTCTGTATCACGAAAATGCTTTATGATATTAATATTTAGTTCCCTCTTCATTTTATTGGTGCAGACTTCAGTTAGTGCTCCTAGGAGTTCTCCACCTAGTGGGAGCTCTGGTAAATCAACTGCTCTTCCTGCTGCGGCATCATGGTAATTTTTTGCTGCAAGCTGCTGTCTTATTTATGGGGTCATTTTTAAAAAATTTAAAATGCTGTTACAGGGGGGCACGTTTAACAAATCAACACTCTTTAGCAACTTCAGCTTTGTCAAATGGATCTTTGGATAATCAAAGATCAACATCAGAGAATGGAACTTTGGCTATGTCGACAGTTGTTGCAAATGCAGCTCATGGGCCTGTATCCTGTAGTAACGCTCTTCAGAAACCACCTCTTAAGGAAGAAATTCAAACATTGGCTGAAAAAAGTAAACCTAGCGTGTTGAAGCCTTTGCAGCAGAAGATTGTGTTGGATTCTGGGTCCAAGAGAACTACATCACCTAATAGAGATCCTAGTAGCAATCAGATATCCTGTTTAGAAGAGTCTTCCTACAATAGCAGAGTCATTGACCAGCCTTCTGCTGTTGAGAATTCTTTTGAACACACAAATGAGATTGCTGAAGATTTCCCCGATGTTAGTAACTTGTTGGCTGATGTTGCATGTATGGGGATAACTACAAATTCTAGGGATGAAGCTACTGGTGTTCCAGTAGCTATTGGTACTCATTGTGATCAAGGTTCTATTACACAACCTGATAACGATGTACAAAATCTCGAGCGCTTTAGAAAACATTCTCCTACAACCACTTATGCAGAAGCTGGCATATCACAGAATGAGATTCATGGTTCAAGGCCAGAGTGGGATTGGAGATCAGGTTCGCGATCCCAGATAGATGTTAAGGCACCGGTGGAAGCCGATGATTTCTCATCATTCAATAACAATAGGCAGGATGTTGCAGAGGCTGTTAGCCACTCCACTTATATGTTTAGTTCATCAAGCTCAATTCTGGATTCAAATCATCTAGCTTCTCGTTCGTTCCAGACCCGGGAAACTTCTGGTGGGATGGATTCAAATACTGGGTCCTCCTTTGAAATAGGTAGCGATAGATTGCATCTTCCAAATGGATTTTCTGAGAAAGCCATATCCAATATGGAGCATTCATTATTTGCAAATGAAGGCAGGAGCAACATTCAGAATGCAGAGGATGATATAATTTCAAACATTTTAGACTTTGATCCCTGGGATGAATCCTTGACTTCGCCACACAATTTTGCAAAATTACTTGGCCAGAGTGATCGTAGGGCTAGTACTCTGCAATCTTCTAACATCCTTAAGCAACATAATGACCAGTCCAGATTCTCTTTTGCTCGGCATGAAGAATCAAATAGTCAAGCGTATGACAATAAAAGTTACAGCATATATGGGCAGTTGTCAAGAGATCAGCCTCTTCAGGAGTTCGGAGTGAACCGTGATATGTATCAGGATAAGCTCGGCAGTCAAAATGGTTTTGCCTCAAACTATTCTGGCGGATATGAACAATTTGCTGCTAGTCCTGGATTATCTTCTTACAAGAGTCCTGGTTAGTATATATCATGGCTTCCTATAGTTGTTTTTTGCAATTAAAATCAGTTTAATTAACAAGTATTTCATCAAGACTGTCGTTTCCTCGGCTTTTCTTAACTTTTCACCATTGTCCTCTTGTAGTGGCGAGGACTCAAGTTTCTGCTCCTCCTGGATTTTCTGCTCCCAACAGGTTACCTCCTCCCGGTTTCTCTTCACATGAAAGAGCCGACCTGTCTTCTGATATTGCATCAGGTATTATATGTTGCATTCCTAAAAGTGAATAGTTTTTATAAGCAGAGACTCTTGTAACACATATTTTGCAACTTGCAGGAACTCGTTTATTTGACTCAGCCAATTTGTTGAGGAACGCATATCATGTACCACCTCCAAGTGGAAATTTGAATGCTGATATTGAGTTTATTGATCCTGCAATTTTAGCTGTTGGAAGGGGAAGACTTCACAATGGGATGGAAACAGCCGATTTTGATATGAGATCAGGGTTCTCTTCTCAGCTGAATTCATTTGAGAACGATGCAAGACTTCAATTGTTGGCGCATCGGTCTCTGGCTGCACAGCAAGTTAATGGATTTCACGATCCCAGAAACGTTAACAACTTCTCTTCTTCAGTCTCTGACCCATATGGGATTATTAGTTCGAGGCTAATGGATCAAACACAAGGAGCTGGCTTATCTCCTTTCACACAGTTGCCTAGACAAGCTTCACCAAATCCATTGTTGTCAAATGGACACTGGGATAAGTGGAATGAACCCCAAAGTGGTAACAATCTTGGGACTACCCAGCTTCTAAGGAATGAACGGATGGGCTTTAATGACAACGTCTACAGCCGTTTTGAAGAGCCTAAATTCCGGAGGCCCAGTCCTGGAGATCCGTACAACAGAACATACGGGATGTGATTCTCAGAATTCTGATTGGTTGGATTTTCTCTTAAGACCGTCTCAAAAGAAGGATTGTTGTTTGGCTGATTCCAGTGTTGGAAGAATCATAGTTGAAACTGCTCTGCCTATTTTGCCCATATCATACCAGACCTTCGAATCAACAATCGCAATATTGGCTCCCCCAAAGCAGTTTTAACTCAATTGGTACAGAAATCTTGTTCCTCACTACCTCATCAATATAGGCAATGATTTACTGATATCGTAATGTGCTTACCAAAGTATCTTTTCTCATTCGCAGGAGGATAACCTTACCATGTTGGCGTTGTATCAGCAAAAATTTGATGCTTCAGTGCCTACTGTTGATTCAGAAGGTAATTTTGATCTACATTTGCATACTGTATAAGGCTGAACTACTGGAAAAATCTGGCGCGTTACCATTTGTATAGAGCCTACAAGAACAATATCAGTCTATGCTTTGTAATGCTTTTGTAATTTGTACAAAGAAGAGAGTGTATCTTTCCTTGTGCAACCTCTTCATTTCATTACTCTTATCCAATACCAAATTGAATGAAAGAAATTAACAGCATCCGACCGTGAACCGGTTTGGACGTTTTGGTTCCTTTTGTTTTTACAGCTTAATTTCTCGTTCTTATTTTCCTTTCCTTATTAAATATTACAACACAAGCAAAATCCACAAGTATTTGGAAGACATAGAGGGACCTGTAATCTATTACACTAGTCGAGGACTCAGCTTACAGTACATTCTCTTTCTGAAGACTCATCGTCGTTGGCTACTAAGCTCGCAATGAAGTGAGCGTCATTTCCTTCATCACTGCCAATGTCAGTTGAAATGTATCTTCTCTCTGTAAAAGCCGACGTCTGACGTCTCTGTAGCCGGAGAACATGCATAATTACATCAGGAGTCAATGTCACCCTCGATTGGTCTTCTCTCCCAACCCTGTTTAGTTCCATCACCTGCATTTCCCACAAAATACAGATTCAGTGTTTGTGACAGTGTCTCAACATTTAACATTGGCTGAGAGGAGGCTTGATCTACTAGTAGTTTACCTTTTCGATCTTTTCAGGCAGGGAAAGAACATCGTTTGACATTGGCGTCCAGAGCTTAACACTCTTTTCAATCCCGCAAGATGCAAGTAACGGTATATGTGGGTGAGACTCTAGCTGATTCACCACTCGTCTATCACCCACCATAGCCCGAACAAGCTTACCCCCTTTCTTCTTCCATATAAATATGTGACCGCAGTCTGAACCACTCGTCACATATTCATCATTTGGACCGAAAAAGTTTACTCCTTTCACTGTTTGTGCATTGCGGTGACCTGCATACACCTGTGGTTCTTCCATTTCTTGCAGTTTCTCAGGAGAGATAGAAACTGGCGACGGACCATAACCCATGTTCTTCTCAAACAGATAAATGAGCTCGTCGTTGTAAGAGACCAGCAGTTCTCCAGCTTTGGAATACGCCAATCCCGTGACGTGAACACTGTTTGTTTCCCGGAGATGACGAGGACAGAAAGTGTTCACAGGCGCGTCTGGTAAGACGTGGCGACATACTGGAGCTAATTGTCCTCTTCTAGTGTCGTAGACTCGTGCATATTCATCGGAACCCCCAACCGCAAGATAATATGAATTCCTCGGATCGATCGCAATAGAATTTAATCTGATCCTACTACTGGAGTGATGTCTCCTGCAGCCTTGTGTGAACGGAGAGGAATACAAAACCATAGTGGCACTGTTGCTTCGTATATCAAACTGCCCAAAAATAACAATAGACAAGTTCAGAATTTGAGTTTGAAAAAGGAAAAGATATCCCAAAGCCAAACATGAGAGAGATTTAGAGACCAACATGTTGAACAAAACCATCTTCACCACAGCTGTAGAATACATTAGGATCTCCAGGCAAAACAGCAAGCTTGTACACGCGACCGTGATGCCTCCCTAGCCTTTTTGTCTCCACTTTACCATTTTCTAGGATCTGACCAAGTCTTACCTGCAAAACGTAATGGACACCAAATGATTACACTAGTTACAAAAAGCAACAACGGTGAAGAGTCTTAAGGATATTGAGATTACAAGCATACTTGTCCATCAGCACCAGATGTTATGATTGTCCGGTCATCCGTAAAAGGTATGAACTTAGTCTGAAACACATTTTCACAATGTCCAGAGGGATACGACAATGTCCTGCTTCCACTCAACCAGTTCCAAAGCATGATTTGTCGATCATCGGAACCCGAAACAAGAACATCGCCAGTCGAATTGAACTCCACGGCATTCACACATCCCTCATGACCATTTAACTTCCCGTAAAGATCGAGTTTCTTCACTATCCCCTGAAGTAACAAAAGGAAAACAATACAGTTCAATCCAAAGAACATAAAATTTCAATCTTTAACTGATAAGTGATAACATCACTATATTAGTCTTTTGGGATTTATGATTCGAAACACAAATCCAGAAAAGGAGAAGACTTTCTTATAACTATGACATAACTATCCAAAACCCATAATTTCTATACGGATTTTGAGCAAGAAATTGGAAACTTTTTAACTCTTCGCGAGTTGCAAAAGTCTCATTCGAAAACGGAAACAAGTAAAAGAGAGGGTTCAAGATCGGAGGAAATAGAGAAATGGAAGAGTATTTGAAAAAAAAATGAGAACCTCAGAAGCGGAGATTCGACGAGAGATGGTGATTGGATGAGAGAAACCAATCTCTCTGTTGAATATCTCTGTGAAGCCATCACCGATCTCTGTGTTTCTTCGTCTCGGTCTCGCCATTGTTTTAAGTTCAAAGTCTTTACGCTTTTGCTGTTTTGTATAAGTCGTGATTCGTTAGTCGGGTATGAAACATCGTGTCGTCTACGGTAATCTAAATTTGACAATCTGTTGTTTTTTTACTCTAAAACGGCATACAGTGCGAAGGTTTACGTTTCGTCAGAGCATCTTAAGTTCAATTATAAACTTTACGAAATCATTATGACGTTGAAACGATATGATATCTTCTTCTTCCAAAGGTAAGCCAACATTTTACAAGATGTAGAATTTTTTTATGTTTGATCTTTACTAGCAGAAACTCACTCCACACTTACAATGGGGATTAGGTATAATAGATTGGGCCTTCTCTATGTAACAGGCCCAAATATAGATGTAATGAAATACTCATTGAGTTAGACAGTAGACCCGGACCGAGTTGGTAAATCAAAATTTTGTAGTAAGCCTGAAAATTATTTGGCAACAGATTTTACCTTTAATAACAAAGTTTTTTTCAGTGATGAAAAAAAAAACACCACCATTGGATAGACATAACCACGGTTACGGTTGATTAACCACCGGTTACGGTTTGTGTGAAGGGCCGGGCCTGGTTATAACCTACCTAGCTAGTGATTATTTTTTTTTTGTAAGAACCTAGCAAGTGATTATGATAGTTGGTAAAATTGCGAATTTGATCTTCCTCAGTTCGAAAAACAGAGACTTATATGTTATAACGGATCCGATCATATAAAGAATTCATAAATTCTATGAAGAGAAAATAAGAATAAACAAAAACAATGTCAGGAAAGTGAAAAGAATAAAAAGCAACAGAAATATTCAATACTATATGTTATAAAGAAATATAGCGTTGCATGGGAATCTATAGGCGTTGATGCTTTGCTTGAAGATGGAGGTAAGAATAGATGCATGTCGCTTTGGAAATTGCGCCTGGTCCGATCCACTACTTGTTTTATTACCCCTTTTTATAATGTTACAAATTTTCAAATTGCAAATGAAAATGGATTATATAAATTATAGAGTTATAATAACATGTATCATATATATACATGTAACAATTATAGGTTTTTTTTTTTGCCAATGCAATTATTTATTTAGCAGCCATAAATTGTTTTAAATTTTTCTCTAACATGTACTATAAAATTATATATGAGGTACAAAACATGCAAAAATAGTTAACTATATACAAAGTTGACCCAAAAAAAAAAAGTTAACTATAAAAAAAAAACTATATATATGAAAGCAAAAGAAAATTTAAAATTTCCTCATCATCCATAGATATCCATTAAAAAAAAAGATATCAATAAATAATGTATTATTCTTATAATATCTATAATAGAGAGAAAGAGGAAAATTGAGAAGTGGGTTGGTCTGAGTTCTGAACCTTACCTTGACTGAGACCACATGCTCCTATCTCTCAGAGCTTCTTCTGGGATCCCCACTTTTGTTTCTTTGTCTCACTTCTCGATTTCTTCAAAGATTCTTCTTCTTTCGTCACGTGTCTAATTTTTAGCCACCATGCGGATCCTCAATCGCTTTGTTTCTTTTTCATCTATCGAAAATTCGAAATTACGGTTTTTATAATTTGTTAGAATCGTTGTAGCAAGAAAAAAAACAAATTGATTGCTGTAATGAAAAAAATAAAAGTGTTACACTTTCGATTACAATAACTCAAAAGACATATGAAATGGTCATTTTCTATTACAATAACTCAAAAGACATATGAAATGGTCATTATGGTTTAAACTTGAGCCACAAGGAGGGTCCAACTGGAGTGTAATGATCACTATTCCTTATTCGGATATCAATCATTTTTATGAATCACTAATTTTAGTCGTAGAATGTGACAGCCTTGATGCAACAAGTTTATCTACCTCAGTTTCCAAAGTGTCTTCAAATATATAAATTCAAGGTGTGTCAAAGAAAACAAGAAATATAGTCTCAAGATTAGTTGGTATCTATATTATTATTTTTTTGTTTTTTTTAACAAATCCAATTCTGTTGTATACTCAAGTTTTGATCTCTACTTATCTGAAGCCAGTATAGTTAGGCGCGAGGCAATTATTTGGAGACAAATTAAAAGTTTTACAATGACTGGCAGCAATAATGTTGTTAAATTTTTTTACCAATTATTTAATTATTATAGGAAACATTTCTTATTATGATTTTTTTTTTTTTTTTGGACATCTGATCGATCAATTAAAAATATTTAAACGGTTTAACTTTTGTTATTAAATTGTTGTGAATCAGGTAACTTACTCAGTATCATTAGAATTTTGGCTCTGAGTATTTGGATACTTGCCACAGACTGTCTGACGCCAACGACTAGGTGACCGTCATCTAGGTACTGACCGTCATAGTCATTTTTTATAATTAACATGTTGTTATTTTCGCCAAGTTTTTAAATAACGTTAAATAATGTATTAAATCAAAACTTTTACAACGAGGAGTTCAAATCTAATTTTGCAATTCTAAAACTCTAATGTATGTGACTATAACAACTACACAAAAATATATAAAAATATTACATTATATATTACTTTTAACTTCGCGAGATTAATCTGCATTTTTTTGGAAACAAACGGTAATTTGTTTTAGAAAACAGAGACTTGAAATATTATTTTGCAGGAAACTCTATAATAATCAAAGAACACATATATACGTACATGAATATAATATATGTATTTGGCTGTAGATATGGGTGATTATTAGAATGTCCCACATTGCTTGGGATTAAGATCTTTGGGTAGTATATAAAGAATGTGACAATCCTTAACTCTTGAGCTAGCTTTTGGGTTAAGTTAGCCCACATTCCTAATATGGTATCAGAGCCCAAGGTTGGCCCAACAAGCAAATTCCCACACAAATGGTTTCCCACCTATGTGGCCCATATAAGTGGCATGTCTTGTTGTATTTCCGAGATGTTGGGCTTGGGCTGTTTCCCGTTGGACCGTTTCCCACCCACATCTCGAGGAGGCCTATTAGAATGTCCCACATTGCTTGGGATTAAGATCTTTGGGTAGTATATAAAGAATGTGACAATCCTTAACTCCTGAGCTAGCTTTTGGGTTAAGTTAGGCCACATTCCTAATAGTGATACACACCCATATACTTGTCTTTTAGACCAAATCTTGGTCTTCAATCTTCAAATTAGTCCCTTTTACGAAAATCGATGTTTTGTGTCTCTACTTACTTACCTGATAGGGATATCATGGGCTACACATTGTCCGGCCAAATCTCTGCTTTTACATGGTCATTTTGGAGAGTTGTATTATTTTTCAATTATAATTTAAAATAAAAAGTTGTGCATGTATTTTTTCTACGATCATGTTATTATATGTTCGAGGTTGAACTAGATTTGTTTACATAAAGAACACTCAATAAAACCAAGTAACCAAGTGATACTGTGATAGATACCTCGAGGAATGGTTTTAGCCTTGATTAACATAAATTTTATTTGAAATATTCAATATAATTTTTACCAAGAAATGGTGTACAAGAGGATTTACCAAAATAAATCTTGGAATATGCAAAATAGAAGATCAGGATATGACGAAAAACGATAATTTAACTAACTAGAGGCTGCTCATGGGAATTATAGACTATAAAATGTGTAAACACAGTCATTAAAAAATACATAGACAAGGCTTGATGGAAATCCTAGAAACATAGGTGTAACAAATATTTATAATCCGCATAGAATATATACATGCACCAACATAATCATAATTTAAAATATATCTTTTATCTTACATTTTGCTATTATAAATCAAGAGTGTGTGAACCGTGATGGAAGCAAAACTATCTAACCAATGAATCCGACATTCATAATTTAGAAGTTACAAAACCTAAACTTGTACATGCAAGAATTTTTTCAAATAATGGAAGCAAAAGTCATGAACCATGTGCCACAGACACAGATATTTGTGGACCTCGAGTCCTCACATAAACAATGTGGTCCAAGAAATGATTAATCACAACTAACTGAGTATTTATTCTACCTTGTTTCACCCAACATTTTGGAGAGTAATATTAAATTTAACTGCGACAAAACAAAAATAACAAATAGGGAGAAGAAAATACACATACCACATAGGACCAGCTAGAGAGAGAGAGAGAGAGTGGTGGGATTCACGCGAGAGTAGAACTTTTGACTAAATTTAGAAGAAGAAGGTGGGTTCCATGTGGTGGGGTGACGACAACTCAACGGAAGAATTGTGACACGAAAGAGGTTGAGGACACACATGGAGAAGGGTGCCTGAGAATGGACATCGTACAAACAACCAATTCTGATACATCATAGTACGGTCATAGCTAGGTCACACTTCTCATCATTTCTATACAAATAATTAGACGACAAAAAAAAAAAAGGTTTCCCCAAAAAAAACATTTATATATATATTAATTAATTGCAATTTTCTTTTGGCTAATAGTGTTAATAATCGCACAAATATATGATTTGCTTAGAAACCTAAGGATTTTGATAGTTTATTTTTGTATTTAGAAAGTTTCGAACAAAATCCAAGATAGATGCAAAAACATATATGACTATGTCTCTTGTACACCACGACCACATTCGAATTCCAATATGATGAAATTTAAACAGCCTTGTCCGATCAGAGAGTACGTACTAACTATATGTTTGGTAGTTTTAAACAATCTTTCCCACATCATCACATGTAATGTACTCAACAAATAATTTTTTTGTACATGATAGAACTATATCTATATCAACAAGTGTTGTAAGTTTATACGGGACACATAGTAATTTGTAAAGTGAAAGCATTAAGGTGAATGGAAAAAATTTCGCACACAAGATCTCGATATAATATATTTTTTCCATTAATATGATACCAATGAAGCATAAATTAGAGACAAATAGTCTCGTGTCTCCAATCTAAATGAAAAAAAGAATCTTTAGTTGTATAAATCAGAAGTAGGCATGAAAAATCTTTATTTAATAAAACGGCTTCATGGTTCACATCTCATGCTCCGAGAGTTGGATCACGTTATTCGCTCATATGGTAACAACATTGATTAGTAACGTTAAAAATGAAATAATATAATATTGAGGAAGCCACCAAATTCTCTAGCTACTTCCATAAACTTTTCTATAAATAGAGAGATAAGATGCTTGGCTTTTCCTTTATCTCCACTCTTTATCTCTCTTTTCTTTCTCCTTGCTTTATCACAATCTCACTCTTTTCTACATTTCAAAGAAGTTTCTCAATTAGTTGAGATGGATTATTCTTCGATGCATCAGGTACTAATCAACCTCACATTTTTAATAATTATTTCGTTAGAGAATTGGGTTTTAATGTTCATTTAATTTTTTTTTTTTATATAGAATGTGGTGGGAGTATCTTCATGTTCATCACAAGATTATCAGAACCAGAAGAAACCATCGTCGGCGACTAGGCCAGCTCCACCGGAGCAATCATTAAGATGCCCTCGTTGTGACTCGACCAACACAAAGTTCTGCTACTACAACAACTACAGTCTCTCTCAGCCTCGCTACTTCTGCAAATCTTGTCGGAGATATTGGACTAAAGGTGGAATCTTAAGAAACATCCCAATAGGTGGTGCTTACCGGAAACACAAACGCTCCTCTTCTGCCACTAAAAGCCTCAGGACAACCCCTGAACCGACGGCAAGCCATGACGCCAGAACATTCTCGACGGCGAGTTTTGGCGGTTATAATAATAACATTAGCAATGAACAGATGGAGCTTGGGTTAGCATTTGCCTTGTTGAACAAGCAACCTCTAGGGGTTTCTTCACATCTAGGGTTTGGAAGCTCTCAGTCTCCCATGGCCATGGATGGTGTGTATGGGACCACTAGCCAGCAGATGGAGAACGCGGGGTATGCGTTTGGGAATGGTGGAGGCGGTCTGGAGCAGATGGCGACAAGTGATCCAAACAAGGTCTTGTGGGGATTCCCCTGGCAGATGAACATGGGAGGAGGAAGTGGTCATAGTCATGGTCATGGTCATGTTGATCAGATTGAGTCAGGGAGAGAGATTTGGAGCAGTACTGTCAACTACATTAACACTGGTGCTTTATTGTAGTCTATTTGTTTTAAAAGAATTATTTTCAGTAATTTTGGGTTTGATTAGGGTTTGGATTCTGGTCTTCTTGGTTAGAGAAAGGGATAATATGAGTTGGGGTTAAAGAAAATAGATATGTTGTGCTTTCTTTAAAGATTTTCACTTGGAAAATGAATTGTGTTTTTTCTTTGGTTCTGACCTTTTTTGAGCTCCTTCTTATTTGGTATTTCTTCTCTATGGCCCAAATGAATAATTTCCCTAAGTTTTCAAATTAATAATTTATGTTTATTATATAAGAAATTGTGAAAAAAGAAACTCGCTTATTAATCACTTACAAATATATGATTGGTGATAGATGGATTAATAAAATTAAATACAAATCCTACATCACCATTGCTAAAATTAGTTTGCCGATAGATCTATATTTTTGATTATAGGTATGTTTGTGTTATTTCTAGCTATAATAACAAGGATAAGAGAATATCAACAATTCACTATACACCTTTTTTAGAAGAATTGAGCCAACGCTACCAAATTACCTACGGCTACGTCTTGGTTAAATTAAGTTTAATTGCAAGAACATTTATATAAGACAAATAAAATATATAACGTATAGCATAAATTCTGGTTTATGTGAAAAAAAAAATAATTCTGGTTTATGTGTATCATACACAGTGTATGAGGACCTCCAATAGCTTAGTCTCCGATTCAAACTTCGGATTCTTTCGTATAAAAACTTTTTTGATCTTTACCATAACAAATGGACCAAAAAAACAACAACTGGACCAAAGTGAAAGCAATATTCTCTCGAAATAAAACAAAAAAAAATGTTTGATTAACTTGAATGAACGTTTTGGGTTTGGATATTTCCCGAAGTTTTTTTTTTTGTTAAATATTTTCCGAAATTGCTTTTGATGATTTTTTTTTAAAAAATTTCAGTAGATTTTGAATAGGCTTGTAAGCCTTAAATTATATCGTTTGAAATCACGATGAAAACTTTATATTATTTTATTTATTAAATCAGCATGACGTACGAACCAAATCCAATTCGAAGATTCTGGCGTGGCAAAATCCTCGTTAAAATTGAACAAACTGCCAAACTCTTTATTAAAATATGATATGTTTTGAATCCCCAAAAAACGGTTTGATTTGATATGTATTGGATTTTGTTGCGCTACTGTCTTTAGAGGCGATGGCTTTTCAAGAATAAAAATATTTAGAATGAATAAGTTAGTGGTGGAAAACTCAGGAAAACTATTTGGATATTGAACAAATTTATTGTTCAAGTTACTATACACATATATTTTTTTTTTTTGGTCAAACACTATACACATATTTTATTTTTTAGTTTCTAACGATCATAAAACGAAAAAACGAAATCTTTTTTCAAATTATAAGAGAAATACTACTTGTTTAAATCCGAACCATTACCAGAAAGTCCAAAAGTCACTAAAAATGAGTAATAATAGTCCTATATATCATCAATTTAACAAAAGAATCATGCTTAAGATCATCAATTTAGTTTTTTTTTTTAATTTGTTGTCGAGCTTAAGATCGATCAGTTAATCAGTTTCATAATTATAAAGTTTTAAGCTTTATGTGAAGAACTTACGCAAATATACGAATTCAGATTCATGTATGGAATATGTTAGTTAGACTAGTTATCAAACTCCGACAACTTCAATGATCAGTTTTTCTTAGGCCTACTGGGCCTTAGCCCAAGGAAACAAGAGACACAATAATCTTTCTGAACCCGCTTAACCGGAACAGAAATAATGACTCCATAGACCATAGTCAAGTGATTTCGATTGCATCACGGTTTGGTCCTATCAAACAAAAGTCCTTAATCAATAACTTCAAATGACCAAAATTCTAAATGTTCAAACTAGTTTCTATACAGAACAAACTACGAACTTTTAAAGAAGTTTCCAAATCAACAGTACCGCTGAAGCAGAATCTAAGATGGACAAAAAAAAAAAAACCCCCGTTGTTCCAAAATTTGAGGGATCATTGATTAACTGAAAAGTTTAGATGATATTATGTCAAGAAGCGTAAGAAGAGAACTGAAAATTTTCAGTCTGTTCTATTTATGAAGAGAAATCAAATTTTGTCTCCGTTTTGGTCCTATCTAAATAAAACTCTTAATTAGCTATCTCATTATCTATTTAATAAAGCTATGTTGTGTATGAATTATTAAAATACAAATTTTCTATCGTATTAGTATATGTAACTGTGTGTATATTATTAATATAATATAATCAGTTGGGTCGGTGTAGGGATTTAATTTATTCAATTGATTTCTTTAAGAGGTATGGACGTTATGACAACCAGCTTTTGTATGTGTTCCATGCAAATTGATTTGAAACGAATAATTTACAAAGACTGGAAAAAAAGGAATCGATTCCTTGTATTGTCCCATTATTCCCCTACACGTAGCATTATAAATTGTATTGTAGTGCATTTCTTTTCCTTGAATAAGCCAGGTAGTTATGGCTTATGATTTATGAAGCACCTCTCATCTGTATTAATAATGACGACATAATATAGTATAACGGGTCAGATCAGTAACCAAAAGATGTATAAGTTTTTTATATGTTAGCTAGAGCTGTAAATTTTATCGGATTAGTGCAAAACTATAAGAAAGAACTGTACAAAAAAGCTGAGAGTAAAATTGTTAGTAACGCTTTTGATAAAACTTTTGTAATTGGTAACTGTAAAAATAGTACACCATATACCGCTTTAATAATGTGTTACCATTCGAAGCCAACATATCGTCTTAGAGATTTGATATAAAGTAATTCAATCCATTTTGAAGCATTGAATAATTAAAAGTCTCTAGGAGTATCTTACAAAATTATGACTTTTCATAACAAAATTGGTTGTGCGATACAATGAACTGATGCATGTCATGGTCAAAAAGACATCTTCGCCAATCGCCATCTTGATGATATTTAATTGTTCTAGCTCAAAATATGTAGAAAATATTAGCACACCAATCCAAGTGACGAAATGACTTCATCACCATAAGTAAACTGTTCAAAACATGAAATGTGGATTAATTCAGTAATTACAAAAATAAAATCTTCAAAAATATCACTGAGCTACCGACAGTGGTCACCAAAATATGTGGATCTCAAACGTTCAAAACCTAATCCTATCTTACGTTACTTTCAAAACCTAATTATTACGTAAAAACTTATCACTTTTAACTTTATATAAAAATGTAGCTTAGATATCAATATCATAAAGATCGTTTATTTTTGTCATAATAGCCTTTAAAATTATAAAATCAAATATCTGCGTCACGACAAAAGAAGAAACAAAATTTTCTTATTTTTCTTGGTAAACATCAATAAATAATATTATTACTAATCAAATGACAATTACACACTACCCAATAGCAAAATAAGACTGAATACTGACACGTGTCAAAGCATGTGCAGAGATATGTAAACCCATTATGTCTTTCATCATCTTCAACATCACCTCTTCTTTAACACCTCTGCATTTCACAGTCTTTTTGCACAAGAAACAAAGCTCAAGAAAACCTCAAAACCCTAAATCTAAGAATCATCAAAGCTATGAGAACAAGCAACCATCTCATAGGTTTAGTCAACTTCCTCACTTTCCTCCTCTCAATCCCAATCCTCGGCGGTGGAATATGGTTAAGCAGCCGAGCTAACTCCACCGACTGTTTAAGATTCCTCCAGTGGCCTCTCATCGTCATCGGAATCTCAATCATGGTCGTATCTTTAGCCGGATTCGCTGGAGCTTGTTACCGTAACAAGTTCCTTATGTGGCTATACCTAGTTGCCATGCTTCTTATCATCGCCGCTCTCATCGGTTTTATCATCTTCGCTTACGCGGTTACCGATAAAGGATCCGGTCGAACCGTGCTTAACCGGGGTTATCTTGATTATTATCTTCAAGATTACTCTGGTTGGTTGAAAGATCGAGTCTCTGATGATAGTTATTGGGGTAAAATAAGTTCTTGTCTTAGAGATTCAGGTGCTTGTAGGAAGATTGGAAGAAGTTTTAATGGTGTCCCTGAAACTTCTGATATGTTCTTCCTTAGAAAACTTAGCCCTGTTGAGGTAACTTTCTATAATTATTTTTTCTATTTGTTGTTACTTTTTTTTGGTTATATGAGGATCAAATCTAGTCATGTTCTTTGTTTAATCTTGGATTCTGGGATATTCAGATTCATAAATTTTTAGAAAATTTTCTTGATATTAGTTTTTTTTTTTGGGGGCATGGTTTAAATTTTATTTTCTTGAAATAACAATTTAGGTCCTCCATGTGTTTATGACCCATATGATGATGAGAGTCTCAATTATTGAAAAGATAATTATTATCTTTTTTTTTCCAACTGAAGAAACTTTGTGTTCAACTTTTTCTATAATTAACTTAGTTGACTATGAGTATTGAGTATAGATCTGATTCAGCTTTGTCTCAAGCTTACTCCAGCAAAAAAATAAAATAATAAAATGTATGAAATTTTATTTTATTAGTTTATTCGACTTGATTGATTGTTGTGTATAAGCCATAAATGAAACAATTTTGAGAAGGTATGATTCCTTGAACAATGATTGTCTCTAGGCTTCGACTCTTATTGGCCAGAGAGATATTTCTGCAATTTTTCTGGCCTTTGCAGTTTTGTTCTCATATGTTAAAATCTATTCTTAGCTTTTGGAGCGACCCAAAAAGTTGTATACTTTTTGGAAAAATAATTATTGCTTTGTTTTATATTTTTGAAATTTTCTATTAAAGTAGACATATTCATGCTCAAATTCCTAGCTTTACACGTGAGTAACCAAAAATATGATGAAGATGCATGTAACGTTCGAAAGTGTAGTTGTTCAAGTCCTTGTTTTGTAACAAAATCTTGAATCTAGAATGCTCTGTTTTGTTTGTTTTTCTCGTGAAAGATTTTTTGGCTATTTATATTGTGGATTTGAATATTTGATGTATGAGCCTAATATTGTGGTTTATGATATATAATTGTTAAAGTGTTTAGTGTCTCTTTGCTTCACATGCTTATGAAATGTGATGAGTTAAAGAAAAAGAGTGATTAATATTGCGGTTTATGATATGTAATTGTTGTTTTTACTTTGCAGTCAGGTTGTTGCAAGCCACCAACAGATTGTGGTTTTTCATATGTCAATGAGACCGGATGGGACACGAGAGGAGGGATGATAGGACCGAACCAGGACTGTATGGTGTGGAGCAATGACCAGAGCATGCTCTGTTATCAGTGTAGTTCTTGTAAAGCCGGTGTTCTTGGGAGCTTGAAGAAGAGCTGGAGAAAAGTATCGGTGATTAACATCGTGGTACTTATCATTCTCGTTATCTTCTATGTTATCGCTTATGCGGCTTATAGGAATGTCAAGAGGATTGATAACGATGAGCCGGCCGGTGAAGCTAGGATGACAAAATCACATCCTAGTCATTTCCACCTTTGATCAAAATTTGGTATAGTTCATTATGGAAGCTTTGATTTATGTTTTCACTGGCTTGTGATAAAGTTTTTAGTACTTTTGTATTTGTTTTTGGTATGTAACACATTTTTTTGTGTGTATATTATTTATGTTGGAATCAGAACCTAGTTCATTTTATCTTCCTCTAGAAACTAGCATTACAACACAACTTTATAATGCGAAAATACTTGTTAAAATGTAACCTTAATCATGTTTTGGTTTCATCTTCACGGCTAAGTTCTGGACTCCATCTACGTATTGTTTGCTCTTCCACTGTGTAGTCCTCTAAACACAAAGGCAGATTCATATTCTCTGTGTTGACGTTTCCATTGACGTAAAGAACCAACAATGTTTTCGCTACGGTTCCGGTTAGCCGAACACTGCAATGAATATCCGACCACACCTTTAAACGATCATTCCCACTAATGGACTGTACCAAGACGGCGTATTCAGAGTGGACAAGAGATGGATGATGTCTATACACCACGAAATCAACTCCATATTGTAACCCTGATCTCACAATCCAGTTCTTCGATCGTAGATGGGAATAAGCCTTGTAAGATGTAGCAAAATTTGGCTTAAAGGATCTTATGGATCGCCATAAATCTACCTCGTTTACCAGAGAACGACCATGAAGAGAGATCTTGATGCATTTCAGCTTGTAGAACAAAAAGAAAGCCTCTTCAAAGGATAATTGAATCCATCTCTTATCTTTCTCGACACTAACAACGGTTCTACCGAAACAACAACGGTCCAAAAGCTCAGCTTGCTCTGGCTCAACCGATAGAAGTACGTTACAACTTGAGAGGAAACCCGAGGCCTTGGTTTGGGCCAAAGAAGATTGGAGCTCCGAGACCGTTTCCGAAACAGGTTCGGCAAAAGCCTTTGCCTCAGCACCTTTCCATTTCCACCTTGGAGCCATGGAGATGAGTCTCTCTACACACAGAATAACAAAAAAAAGAATATTTCCTGCTTAATTCTTATGAACTCATACAGTTATTTACGTTAAACTCATCATCAAAACCACTATTTAGAACTCATCATTCAAAGCTCAAAGTGCCCACGAACTAGATTGTACATGCTCAACACAAACAACTCTCTCAGGCATTTCGTCGAACACCTTCCGTTCACTATATAATATTTCACTCAAACTACAATTCATATCAAATTTCCTTCGAAATATATAACCAAACAAGTTTCCAAATCAATTTCAAGAAATTTCCATGGAAGAAGAAATACCTTTGATTCTCTCGTTGATGACCAATTTGGTTACTTAACATCTGAAGAAAAAAATATGATTTCACCGAGTTTATATATATACACACGGAGGACAATAGTGTCTTTTTCTATCATTTAAATTGTTTTTTTTTTTGTTGGGAGAGATAATCTGCGTCTTTGTCTCTATCGTTTTACATATAAACATGGCCATGGTTTTGAAGACGTACAAAAGCAAGGGAACTTTTTTTTGGTTATCAAAAGCTTAAAAACCCAGTACTGAAAAGTACATATTAAGTGTTCGATAAATTGTCTAAGAGAACTTTAAATTACAGTATATGGAGGAGGAAAGTACTCTAGTACGAGCAGATGATTCAAAACCCGCGGGTGAAATCAAACTTGAATCGTATAGTCTTTACTTCAAGGGTTTGGTTAGCGAGGAAACCGCGGAGTTATTGACGGGATTTGGAGTTGCGATTTGCGACAAAGATGATAATCTCTTGTTTCAGATGAAAGAACAAGTTCATAACTCTAGGGTTTCACTTCTGGAGGTTGAGCTTATGGCATTGAAGCGTGGACTAACCGAAGCTGTGGGTTTAGGGATTGATCATAAATTAATTTACTGCGATCATTATCGGATTTTTGAATTGGTAAGTTTGTTACTTGATTGTTAAGTTTCACATGTCCCTTTGCTTTATAATCTTGTTATTGATGTTTTTTGCCTTGAATGTTTTAGGTCATGGAGAGATCTGCCTCTGAGCAAGAGAACATCGCTTTGCTAATGGATGATGTGCAACGCATTAGACAATGATTGACGTCTAGCATTCCTGTTCTGGTGACTAGGAATCAAATTAAATTTGCTTATGAACCTGAGCAGATGTTTTCTGTTGCTTTATGCGGTCATGAATTCTGTGTGGAGTGCGTGAAACAACATATAGAAGTGAGGCTACTCGCGGGAGGTGTACCGAGATGTCCTCATTATCAATGCGAGACTAAACTTACTCTTGGAAGCTGTGTCAATCTTTTGACATCTAAACTAAAAGCAATGTGGGAACGAATAATCGACGAGGAATCGATTCATGTGGCGGACAGAGTTTATTGTCCAAACCCGAGGTGCTCGGCCTTAATGTCGGTAACCAAGCTCTCAAACTCTACTAAAGAAGATGTAACTATGAGAAGCTGCTTCAAATGCGGTGAACCCTTGTGTATCAAATGCAAAGTTCCGTGGCATAGCAACTTGTCGTGCAACGATTACAAGAGATTGGGTCCAAATCCTACAGCAGATGATATAAAGATGAAAGCTCTAGCAAATAAGAAAATGTGGCGTCAATGTGAAAATTGCCAACACATAATCGAACGATCAGAAGGATGCATACATATTATTTGCAGGTATAACCTCTAATTACATTCCCTATAAACCAATCTAGGAACCATAACATAGAGAGTTCGGTTGCATTTCAATTTTACAATCCATTTTATTATTTTTGTGTGAACTTGATTATAACACTACGTTGCATTTCATGGTTGCTTGGTAGATGTGGGTACGAGTTTTGCTACAGATGTGGAGCCAAATGGATTAGGGGAAGAGTTTGCACTCATTCGCCATATACTCCTCCAACGACTAAGTCGATATGTCTTTGCCTCTTCAGTTTTCTTGCCTTTTTGGTAGTTTTAGTTCTTTGGGAGGTTTATTGCTTTCGACGTTTCCATTGAGCATGAAGAAGAGCTGGAGAAAAGTATAGGTGATCAACAACATCGTGGTACTTATCGTTCTCCTTAATCGCTTCTGAGCCGGCAAGTGAAGCGAGGATGACAAAATCATATCTTAGTCATTTCCACATTTGATTAAAGTTAAGTTACGGTTCATTATATGACAATCTGATGAGACATAAAAGATGAAAGCTTTGATTTTTGATAAAATTTGAACTTTTATTTTGCTTTTGGTGTTTTGTTTTTGATAGTCACTACATTTTTTTTTGTTGATTATTTAAGTGGCAAATAGAACCGAAAGCGTTACAACTCAAAACTTCATCTAAATTTATTTATCAAAACTGGAAGCTGAGAATCCTAATACCAACAAATCATGTTCTGGTTTCATTTTCGCGATCAAGTTCTTGACTCCATCTACGTATTGTTTGCTCCTCCACAAGTCCTCTAAACACAAAGGCAGATTCATATCATCTCTTTTCACTTGACCATTGATGTAAAGAACCAACAATGTTTTTGCGATGCTTCCAGTTAGCCGAACACCGCAATGGGACCACACCCTGAAATGGTCATTCCCGCAGATGGACTGAACAAGAACGGCGTATTGGGAGTGGACAAGATATGGAAGATGTCTATACACCAAGATATCAACTCCATATTGTAAAAATTCAACCATTCGTAAAATTTTCTGAACAAAATAGGAATTAATTTGCTTCTGCTTAGTCTTATGAGCAACGCCACAATTAAATGAACATGGTGCACGAACACATGTGAGTGGCATCATGATCATTAGTAAATTAAACAAAATTTCAAGGCTAATGTGTCCACAAACATACAGATTTATACAAAGACATTCAGGCATTTCATCGAACAACTTGTGCTCACTATATAATTAATATCCAAACCAAATCCATGGATGCAAAATTTGAAATCAGAAAAGTGTGTCAAACAGATCCTAACTTCATGAACAAGAAATCTGAAACTATGAGTTACCAAATTCTCTCGTTATGTATCACTATCAGCAAGATTGCAGAAACTGTTTGGTTACTTGCATTTGAAGAAGAAAAATATGATTTAAAAAACAAAACAAACAAAAATAATAAAAATATGATTTTCTTACGGAGGACAATAGTGTCTTTTACCTTAATCAAATGGTACTCTCTCAGACATTTCGTCGAACACCTTCCACTCACTATACAACTTTCTAAATCGAAAGCTCCTCTGATATATATCCCTTTTACAATAATCTTGTTTTGTCGCTATATCCTTCCTCATTGTGGATTTCATTAACAAATTCCCACCCACCGCTCAACATCGTCGTCATTGTTCCCGTCAAAAGTTCCACCACCATTAAAGCTCCAGTTTCATGTTTCTTCAGGATTTTCTTCTGATATTCTCGTCGTCGTCATCTTTCTCGTCGCTTTTGCTTTAAGAACTAATATATATTTTGTAGTTTGTGGTATTCCTCCTCAACTTGGGGATTTCAAAGAAGGGTGTTCTAGTCTTCTAGATTTAAAATTTGGTTCTTTTTATATGCTTATTGAGTTATTACACTGGTTTTCTTAATCGATTAGATTCTTGCATTAATAATTTATGGATTCTACTGGTTGAATTGTAGATAGACTGAACTGAACTAGTACTTGGAGTTCGGATACCCCTCCAATTTTATATATCTGGTACAACTGTATAACTGATACCAACTGTTACTACTGATAAAGTTATATACTAATGATATTTTTTTCTATTCTTTTTAGGGGACAATGAAATAATGAATAGTAGTCCTTACACAATCATATAGTTTGAATATGAAGAACATTATTTAAAGAACGGAGATGGAGTAAGATGGATTTCAACAAGAAAGGAATTGTACTCTATAATGATAAAAACATCTATGGAGAAGGTCACTTATTCTGTATTGGTTGATAATTTATGCAGGAAGACTAAGATAGATAAAGCTACGTCAAATCTGAAAATTAGTTAATTTCCATATGAAAATAAGAGACCATCATATATCTTGGATGATGAAGATGTTTTTGTTTTTATATTGGGTGTAAATGAAAGTGGACACAAAAATCTTTTGTATGTTGAGCTCATCAAAGATGTGGAGCCAAATGATAGATCGTACGACACTAAGTACAAGCCGAGGAAGATAAACAGGGGCGGACCCACGTTAGAGTTAGGTGGGGCATGTGCCCCATACTAAATCTTATAAATATTATATAAACTATCTTTGTACAGTAAAATATTGCTAGCAAATGGTTTTTCAGCTAAGAGTGCTCCATATCCACCCAAGTTCAAGTCTCAAATCTGTCACATTTGTAATATTTTTTATAATCATAATATAATTTAGCTAAGTAAATTTTATTTAATACTATTTATATATATAGTGCCCCATATAGAATTCTTTTCTAGATCTGTCCCTGAAGATAAATGAGCTTGACAGAAAAGGTGGTGAATGCCCAGTGGAATCTGTTGGCTCAAATGAAGTGGTAGAAGGCTGAAACTGGAGATATAGTTCTTTGAGAAGAAGGTTTAGTATATTTACCTTTTTATCATTGTAGCTTGTTACTTAGTGTTATTGTCTTTCCTTATTGCTAGACTTTCGTTTGTGTTTTGCTTGTTTGTCAAGGCCAATTCATGTTCTGATGACTAGAAAGCAAGTTGAGTTTCCTTATAAGCTTGCAATGGAAACAATAGTTTAGAGGATAATTGCGATATCTATTTCAACAATGATATCAAAGCTAACAATGTCATCAGAAGCTCGCATCCTTCTTTCTTCTTTCTTTCCTTTCAGAATTCCGTGAACCATCCGGAGTCATTTCTTATACCGGCATATGTATACATCAAATAAGGATCGTGACGACAAAACTTGCATTATGTATGTGGTTATGTCAATTCATACATTAAGTACCATTTTAAAGTCATTTCATACACAAACTAATGTTTTTTGCTAACTACATTGACTCTTAAATCTTTTAGTCAACCTGTTGACATGGATGCTTCTTTTTTCTTAATCTATATATATATATAATTGAACGTCAAAAATCTAAAATACTTATTCCTGAAGTAGTATGTTATTTTTGGAAAATAGAAAACTAATATTTGCTTTAAAAAAAAATAATCTAATTTAACTTTAAAATTATCAAGTACAAATCTCTTTTTTTTTCATAGAGATCTAAAACATACAAAATTTGTAATCGTAATTATGATCTTTAAATTGAAAAAAAAAGTAATATTGAAAACAAGATATAAATTTTCACCTTTTAAAAATAACTTGGTATATAACGTGTCAAATAACTCTGAAATGACATTTGACTACGTGGTAACCTACGTATGTTTCACCTTAATGTATAAATCAGTATATGTAGCCACGAGGCCCACGACCCTTATATGATACATGTAGTGTAGATACCATGTTTCTTTCTTCATAGTGAATTTTAGACCAATCCTTTCAACAACCAAGAGTGAATGTGCTTGAACCTGACTTTAGCACAACTCATTATGAGTTGCTTATTTCCTTATACCCGAAATCCAGTTTTGGCCCACGCTTAATTTCTTCGACACGAAGACAATTATTAACCCACAATAGATTTGATTCTCTCCTTGATTTAGGCTAGGTCACGATTATAAAACAATGAGAGAAAAACATTTAGGTCTAGAAATTTCCGTAGTTCCATCCAAGTTATAAGAATCTCTAAAGATAGATGATGAAGAGGACCGAGAGGAGAAGCATAGTGTATTTTCCGGAAGATTTGCTAGTCGAGATTCTTTCTAGAGTTCCAACGAAATCTCTAGCACGATTACGATCAACATCGAAAAGATGGAACGCTCTTGTAAAAGATGGGAGATTTGCTAAGAAGCACTATGCTAATTCTCCAAACCAATCCTCTCTGGTTCTCATGGTAACTAATTTTAGGGTTTACTTAGTGAGCGTTGATTATCTCCATGGTAAAGTTACTGCATCTGCAAAGGTAACAAGTCAATTCAACTTACAAGATCATCTTTCGAAACAAGTCGATGTATGTAACGCCTATCATTCCGACGGTTTACTTGTATGCATTACCAAAGACCATAGACTTGTTGTTTGGAATCCGTGTTCAGGGCAAACCAGGTGGATCCAAGCTAGAAACAGCTACAATGAAAATGTCTACTATGCTCTCGGTTACGATGACAAATCCTCCTGTTACAAAATATTGTGGATGCATCGAGTTGTCGATGGTATCAGCAGGCACACTGAGTTTGAAGTCTATGATTTTGCTTCTAATTCGTGGAGGGGTATTGATTCGGCTACCGAGTGGTGTATAGAACATCATAGGAGTCGTGGCATGTATGTCAAGGGAACTATTTACTGGCTTGCGTTGATGAGTGAAGAGCCGCCATTTGATCATTTCTTACTAAGTTTTGATTTTTCAACAGAGAGATTTCAAAGTCTGTCTCTTCCATCGGATATTAATCATCAAACTCTTTTAGGTGCGGTTTTATCAGTGACTAAAGAAGAGCAAAAACTTTGTATGTTAGCTACCTATGGCTCTGATGAGAGATTCAAATCAGATGTATGGATATCAACTAAGATGGAGAGTACCGGAGCCATGTCATGGAGCAAGTTCCGTCGTTTTCACTCTAGGATTTTTATGAGTGTCTCGGTCGACCATGAGAACAAAGTTTTACTATGTTGCAATAATCTACGGGTTTCCAACTACAACAACATCTTACATATTGCAGGAGAGGATAAATACATACATTTGGATCATGATGAAGAGTCTAAACGCCCACTTCTCCTCACTTATGTCCCAAGTTTGGTTCAAATCCAACAAGGTATATAGTCTTCTTGAAAGAGGATAGCTAGTAATTTATAATATATTGTCACTCTAATTTATGTATTTTCTATCCAACTCTTGATATTTTATAAGATATCTCTATGTATTGCTAATTAATAATGTGTTCCCAAACGACTCCCAAGTTTTTCAAGTGAATTCTTTATTTGAAATTGGATGCCGAAAGAATATCTTTAATCGCCCTTGTTAAACGATCATATACATTGTCCTGATCTTCAAATTCCTTTGGTCTCTTTTATATGAGAACTAAGACCCAATCCCATATTGAGTTTTCTTGGTGGGTGGTTAAAAACTCCATTTTAACCGTCGGTAGGCCTCACTTAGAAGCATCTTGAAACCGGTAAGATGGTTCTAGTTGACAAAACCGATCAATGGTGAAACCCCGAGGGCGGCCTGAATGTTCAAACCTCTCCAATTGGTTACTAAGTGAAAGCTAGTTCATGTTTTTTGCTACTTCGAAAGTTAATATTCTGCATTCTATCTATCTTCTTTCTTGATGGGGATTTTGTTTATTTGTAAACTAAAAACACAAGCTATATAGAAAGTTTAAGTTTCAACACATCATTGGTCATAGTTGAATCCTTATATGGGTTCGTAATTATATTTTTTTTAAGCGAAAACTGCTATTTTACATAGAAGAAAGAACAAATTTACAAGTTCTACATCATTAAAACCATAGATCAGACGTTTCAGTGCAACATAGATCAAATCAAGTCTATTAATTAGGAAATTTTCTAGGTCGCCAAAACAAAGTCCACCATGAAAAGCTCTTCCTCAAAATTGGCCCAGTGGTAAATCTCCCAGGTGGAGGTACTGGGTTCGACGCTCGTTGGGAGAGATCTTTTCTACAAAAGAGATGAATTTGACCTGGTGTGGGTCCCGCATCTGGGAGATGTAGGGCCTTCGGATTTGAACTTCCAGATATTCAAAAAAAAAAAAAAAATTGCAACATGATGAAGATATTCTCATAAGAACACATGGGAGTGGGTTCGAACGGATAATGATAAAATTTTGGGGATATTGTAAAATATACAAAATATATAAATCATTTGGAAACTCACAAAGGGCCTAAAACCCTAAAGCCCTAAAATTTTTGGCTTCTATTTATATAGGAAGAATCTTCATAGTCAATTCGCAACATATCTACTCTGGAGACTAGAACTCAAATTAGTATTGCTTATAAACTTGCAATGGAAACGATAATACTTCATGAAGTTAGCAAAGATATGCGTGCGACTTGCTGTATCTGTTTCGACCATGACTTGGAAACTGAGCAGATGTTTTCTGTGTATTTATGCCATCATCAATTCTGTGTGGAGTGCGTGAAACGATATATAGAAGTAAAGCTAGTCGAGGGAGGTGTACTAAGATGTCCTCATTATCAATGCGAGTCTAAGCTAACTCTTAGAAGTTGTGACAATCTTTTAACACCTAAACTAAAAGCGATATGGAAACAAAGAATCGAACAGGAATTGATTCCTGTGGCGGATAGAGTTTACTGCCCAAATCCAAGGTGCTCGGCTTTAATGTCGAAAGCCGAGCTCTCCAAATCAACTAATAAAGAAGCTGGAGTTAAGAGACGTTGCGTCAAATGCTCTCAATCTTTCTGCATGAACTGCAAAGTTTTGTGGCATAATAACTTGTTGTGCGACGATTATATGAGATTGCATCTTACGGAAGATGATATGATGCTAAAAAATCTAGCAAATCAGAATAAATGGCGTCAATGTGAAAATTGCCAACAGATGATCGAACGTTCAGAAGGATGCATCCATGTAACTTGTTGGTATCATCTATAATCACATTCTCTAGCTATTATAATTCTTTTTGGAATATTTTTGATTATATTATTTGCGTAATTAATATTGTAATGGTCATGGTTGTTGTATATATAGGTGTGGCTATTCGTTTTGCTACACATGTGGAGAAGAGTGGAAGCATGGAGGTTGCCCTCATCGAAGAAATATGATTGCGGAAGATTGTGCAGTTTGTACATGTTGTAGTCTGGTCAGCTTAGGCTTTTTTGCCACTTTAATAACCCTTTTTACATGTCTTTTTCCATAGAATAATAAAACAATGTTGATTACTCATGTTGCTTAAAGAAAAAAATAAAAAGTGATCTCATGTTTTTTTTTTTGTCTTCATTTGGGTCGACAATACTCTAAAAATATGAAAACTTGTGTAGATTTCTTTGGAGGATATATGTCTGGCCCTGTAACATGTTACAATTGATTCCAAAACCGAGTTCAGTTCCTTACGAGAAAAAAAATATCTCAGGCCTACATTCACCCACCTTCTGGATGCATCGTTGAATCTTTGGGCAAGAGCATCGTTGCTTTATCTCATTGTCCTCAAGTCGTCTCTGTTTATCTATTTAAAACTGAGCACGAGAGTCCATAGCAGTGAGTGTGCGTCTGACAAATAAGTGGAGAAAAAATGTAAAGGTTGGGAGTCTCAGTAGAGCAAAGTTGTTTGTGGATTTTCCGGAGATCTTCTCCGGCGAGACGTCGGATTCCTCCCAAGGATCTGAACTCGTTAAATTCTTGCGTGTTTTTACATTTCAAGTTTGTTTTTTCTAATATTTTTTCCCTTTTAATTTAATCATTTAATATTTTGATTTTACTTTATATGATTCATATTGATTTATTATAGGAATATATCTTTTTGTTTATGGATTTCAACTAATTTATATTGCAATTTCTTTAATTTAAAATCTATCTACTTTATCCACATATTATTTAAATAATAAATTTTTATTTAGAGAATCTAGAATAAGTTTTCAAATTTAATATTTGAAATGGTTAATTATTTTATATAAAGAAGAAAATTTGTAATTTTTATATCTTTAACTTTCATAACTATTAACACTATACAAGGAATACTTTTATGACAATTTCATTTAGAGATTATACTTATTAATTTACATTTACAAATGTATATTTAAATACATTAACAATTACCTAAAAATAAGAATATAAAAAATTAAATCTTTAATATATCATTTCAATATAAAGTGATTTATCTAGTTTGAGTATTCCTTTTCCTTTTCATCATGATTCATGTCCGAAAAAATCTGTATAGTCTTAAACTTCTCTGATTAATTTAGGATGTCTTACGTACATCGACAGTGCATATATATATGGTACAGTATTCACATATTCTTTAATAAAAAAATGATTCAATTACTTTCAAACTAATTACACTCACGCGCAACCGGATTTTATACGTTTATATATTCGACCTATTTAATCTTCTAATCATGTGTTTGGCTCGGTTCATCATCTAAACTCATAAATAAAGTTAAATTTGCAATGGAAACAAAAGATTGTGAATTCAGCTTACTTGTGGATCCTGAGACTTGTAGTATATGTTTCGATGATGATTTCAGAGCTGAGCAGATGTATCAAGTTTCTTTATGCAATCATAAATTTTGTGTGGAATGCATGAAACGATACATAGATGTGACCCTACTCAAGGGAACTATACCAACATGTCCTTATGTTCATTGTGAGTCTAAGCTGACTCTTAGAAGTTGTGTCCATTTTTTGTCGTTTAAACTAACAGCCATGTGGGAACAAATGATTGAAGAGGAATCGGTTCCAGTAACGGAGAGATTTTATTGCCCGAACCCCAGGTGCTCGGCCAGGGCCGGCTCAATTAATTTTGAGTCCCGGTACAAATCTTAAAAATTGGCCCTTTTCCATACAAAAAAAAAAAAAAAAAATTGGGCCTTTTTCATGTTAAAAAAACTTAAAAATTAACCACTTTCATACTAAATAAAATATTTAGGCTTTTTTATGATAAAGATATCTTAAAGTTTTAAAAATTACATTTTTTTCTATACAAAAAAAAGTTTGGACCCTTAAATTTACCCAAAAAAAATTGGATCCGGTACAATTGCTCCACTTGCACACCCCAAACGCCGGCACTGTGCTCGGCTATAATGTCGAAAACCGTTCTCTCTAAATCTACCGAAGAAGATGGATCTATGAGATGCTTCCAATGCAGGCAGCGCTTTTGCATTAACTGCAAAGTGTCATGGCATAGTAACTTGTCGTGTGACGATTACAAGAGATTGGGTAGTAATCCTACATCAAATGATAACATGCTTAAAGTTCTTGCAAATGAGAAAATGTGGCGTCAATGTGAAAAGTGCCAACACATGATCGAACTTTCGGAAGGATGCATCCATGTAACTTGCAGGTATCATCTCGTATCATAACTTCTACTATATATAATCCATTCAAATTTTATTTCAATTTTGCCTAATTAACATTATATTATGCATGGTTGATGGATAGATGTGGATATTCGTTTTGCTACACATGTGGAGCTGAATGGAAGCAAGGAGGTTGCCCTCATCGACAAAGGATGCTTGTAGATTGTGGTATTTGTACTCTTTTCTTAGCTGGTCTTGTCTATTTAATAATTTTTTGTGTTAATTTTTTCATAAAAAAATAAAACAATCGGTTTTCTAGATCGTTCATGATGATAATGAACAAACAAGCAATATAAGTATATAACCATAACAAAAAAAAAAAGAGAAAAAAATCGTAGGAGGGTTAGATGAATTTAACTATCTTTGTTTCATAACTTAGTCATCGTTGGTTCTATTATCTGTTGTCTGATTGGTAACTAGCTCCAATATGTTATTTTAGAAGTAATAAATTGTGTTCATAACAAAAAAAATATTAGACAAAGCAACAATTGAGTCACTCATATAGAATTAAAAGTTGAACTCAGTACCAAATTATCATTAATATCATCACTCTTATAGATCGAAACTTGATGGACAAGAATACTTAACTATGAATTACAATTCAAGTTATAAATCCTAAAGATATTTTCATGAAAGAACTCTTACATAATTCACGACACCGTTTTATGCAACGAACTCAAAATTTCGAATGTCACGCAATTCTCAAATGATAAAAAAAAAATTGCCCTGGATTTTCGGGATATTATTAACTAGAATCATTATACAAATTTATCCAAAGATATTTTCCCTTTTAGTTTTGGATTCTTGTTGAATCGCACCATGTATATATACAAGAATCGTTTAAAGCCTAAGACTCTATAATCTCCTCAAGGGTATGTAGCATAGAAAAATGTTAAAGGGACTCTCTAGAATAGATGACACCGTAAAACCCTCACCGGTAAATTCCCTTGGCGATGTTAGCACTAGTCCTCAGTTGTGTAGCCTTTACTTCAAAGGTTTGGTAAGTGAGGACTCATTAGCCGGATTTGGGGTTGCGATTTTCGGGAAGAAAGATGATCTCTTGTTTCAGATGAAAGGACCAATTCATCATGATTCCACCACTACACCTTTGGAGGCTGAGCTTACCGCATTGAAGCGAGGACTAACCGAAGCTGCGGGTTTGGGGATTACTCATATCTCTATTTACTGTGATTATTATCCAATTTACGAATTTGTAAGTTTTCTTTTTATAAAAACGACTATTGATTTTTTAGGGTTTATGTCATTAGTATTGGTTGTTTTACTTGTCTACCAAGTATAAAAATCTGAATATTGATCATGTCATTATTCATTTGCTTTGAGTGTAGGTCATGGGAAGATGCGTACCAGAGGAGAATAAAACTGCCTTGTTAATGATTGATGTGCACCGTATACGAGAAGAATTTAAGTCGAGCTTTCCGATTTTCGTGGAAGGAAATAGTGTTAGTTATGCTTATAAACTAGCAAGGGAAACAATAGTTTCTGAAATCAGCATAACTGTGAATCCTCCTCACCAACAAAAGGCTACTCGCAAAACAACTTGCAAAATCTGTTTAGGCGATGATATTAATGAGAATCAGATGTTTTGTGTCGATAAATGTCGTCATCGATTTTGTTCCGAGTGTATGAAACGACATATAGAGGTGAGGTTACTCGAGGGAAGTGTAATGAGATGCCCTCATTACCGCTGCAAGTCTAAGCTAACTTTTAAAAGATGTGAAAATCTTTTGACACCTAAAGTAAGAGAAATGTGGCAACAAAAGATCAAAGAGGACTTAATTCCTGTAACAAAAAGAATTTACTGCCCAAACCCGAGGTGCTCGGCTTTAATGTCGGAAACCAACCTCTCTTTATCGACTAAAGAAGCTGGAGTTAGGAGATGCTCACTACAGGAAAATCAGGCATTGATAGCGTCCAAAAAACGCTATTTATCGCAAACGTAGCGTATTTAGAAACGCTATATCATCGACCGCGACAATAGGTCAAGGACTTTTCGTAGCGGTTTTTAATATTGCTATTAAATCGTTATTTGATATAGCGTTTTCTTGTCAGCAATCGTGGATTCTATTATAGCACTTAGCTTTTGTTATTATTCATAGAAATCTGGGTTTAATTTTTGAATTTTGAAATCTGAATTTCGAATTTTGAAATTTGAATTTAGAAGTTCTAATTTTGATTTACTAGGACAAAAACAAATAATGCTAAATAAATATATAATTTAAAGAACACATCCTACAAAATGCTTAACATGGTATTTTGCTTCTTGTTTACAATTGAAGACGTATGAGAAGACAATGAGAAAGGGAAGTGTGGAGCTTCATCCAAAGTAACACAACGAGGTTTCCAAGTGCTTCTTTGTCAATACTTTCTGCATCTCCTATTTTTGCAACGATCCATGGCATAAAGGTTGGAACTTTGGAGTACTTGGCTCTACAATGCTCAACTTGGTGTTTTCCTGTGTTCAAAATCAAATTAGACCAATTTAGCAAATTTGGTGTATAAAACGAAAGAGTGACTATTTTTGTTTAAAGGGGGTGGTAATCTGTGACAACGCCAAGCTTTTGAGCTAAATATTGAATCACCAAAGTCACACACGAATCCACGTCCACCAATATGATCCAAAGTATAAAAAAAAATTACAAAGAAATCATGATTAGTTATATTGAAAATTATAAAGTAAAGGTGAGTAACGGAGAGTACAAACGCACCTCATACTTGTATCTTGCTCTCGATTGCAAATCAGTCTCAACTACAAAAACACATGAAGAAGAAAGAAGCATTAATAGTCTAAATTTACAAAAAAATGATATAGCAAAGTGATATGCTTTTAAGATCTTCGAGTTTCCAAGATTGATATATGCAATTGAAACTAGAAAACTTAGGCCTAAGTAAGCAAAAAAAAATTCAAGCTCTTCTTCTACAAATATATAAGAATAATTAAACAAGATAATCAAGCGAACACATGTGAACAAGATAAAAAAGATTTCAAAGGGTTTTGAGATAAATCGATAAACAGATTATAATAATAGTGAAGTAGTGTATAGACCAACTTTTGAGAAAGCCAAATAGAATTTCACCTAAGAGCTCAAGGTTTTTCTGTGCATTCTTCTTCGCTCTATCTGTACACTCACTCTCTACCATAAGTAACAATTGACCACTCCCATTGCCGCCGCCTCTTCCTTCCACCGTGAATCTGCTTCAATCGAAATAAAAGGAAGCATATACCATCATTTCAAGGTAAAACAATCAGATCTACAAGTCGAAATATCTCAATTACCTTACAGATCTAAGAAACGGAAAACAGAACGAAGAAACAAGAATAACAATGATTATAAAGGGTCACGGATCTGAGAAAAACGAGTCTTACCAAAGAGAATCGATGGGTGAAAGGACAAAGCGAGAGAGATGAAGTATTCTCACAGAGAGGAGAGGACGAAGCAAAAGAGATGAAGATTTCTCTGTGGTGAAAGAGGGGAACTTTCAAAAGAGAGATTATATGCCATTTTATCGTCTGCCAATGACGAACCCTCAATCTCAACCCTCTGAACTCGTCTCTGAAACCCTAAAATGGAGAGTGAATGAAGTGAGAGAGGAAGAACAGATCGAGACTACGAGTAAGAGGGATCGAGATAGAGAAGAGGGAGAGGGAGAGGGAGAGGGAGAGTGAGAGCAAAAGGAAATCTTTAGTCAATAACCCTAATTTTGGCGACCAAAGCTGAGATATAGAATTTCTTTCAATTATTTGGACGGCCTTTGAAATATTTTTATTCTCGGTTAATCTACGATAGCGTTTTACAATTTGTCGATGCTATTACTGAGTAATGAGAGAACTAAAAATTAAGCGCAAACACATTATTTTTGCCGCCCAACATATGATAGCGTTTATCATTTCCGAAACGCTATAAATAAATCAGGTGTAAGTCAATTATAGCAGAAACACATAAACCGCTATATTCAATTGCTATTAATATTCGTTTTTCCTGTAGTGGCTGCTTCAAATGCGGTCAAATCTTTTGCATCAAATGCAAAGTTTCATGGCATAGTAACTTGTCGTGCGACGAATACAAGAGGTTGCATCCATATCCTACAGAAAATGATGGGAAGATTAAAGCTCTGGCAAATCAGAAAATGTGGCGTCAATGCAAAAAGTGTCAACACATGATTGAACTTTCTAAAGGATGCGTACAAGTAAAGTGCAGGTATCATCTATATTAAGTTTATTAATAATGTTTTCCTTTTGAAGTTGGTTATATGTTTTAATCTGATATAGCATTGTATTTTCTTGATAGATGTGGACATAAGTTTTGCTACCGATGTGGAGTCCAGGCTGGACGTTGCCAACATGGTCATGGTCTTCCTCCAAGGCCTCCACCGCCGCCACAGCAGCCATGCACCACCGTGTTTTATGTTATTCTGTTTTCCACTGTTGTCGATTTAATTATGTTCATCGTTTTATTAATTATTCATAAACATAATTTTCGTAATTTACATAATTTTATAATGGTTTTTTTTCTTCTAAATCTTTTTATATAAATCAGAACGCAAAATAATAATTTATTGTGTTAACATTAGATTTTTGACATCAAATATTTAATAGATTTCTATTTCAATATTTCACCTTTAATCAATGTTATATATAGATATTATCAAATTAAAATAGTTTTGTTGTTATTTAAAATTTCCAATTTTAAAATTTACTTTAAAAATATATGAAAATCCAAAAGAGGAATGACATATCTCATGTTTATGAATGTGAGTATCCTATACTATTATTTGGGGAGTACAATTTACAATTACCCTTAATTAACCTTACCCTTTGTAAGAATTTACTTAAGAATGCCATTACAAAAATCTTCTTTTAGAACAAATTTCATTCAATTTATTAAGGATAAACAAGTAAAATACTAATTTATGTCATTTAATTAATTTAATTAAATTATAAAACGAAAATTTGTTATTTTTTTTTTTAAATGACCAATCAAAATGAACATATAAGATTTGATATCTAACTTACCATATTAATTTGTTATTAATCATTAAACTTCACCTCTCATCTTTATATGATTATATTTATATGAAACAAATAAATCATCATATCTTCTACATAATAAAAAGGTAATTTTTTTTTCTGCATATGCCAAGATTTGAATTTTTAAAAACGCATATAAATTGTTCAATCTATAAAAGAAACAATTAAACGGGTCAAAAATTCAGACTTGAGTAATATATTTCTTTTACACAAAAATAAATTCAACAAAAATTCTGACTGAGCAACGGGTCAGAATTTGAATATTTATATTCGATTTCATAAATTTATTTGCAATGTATAATTTTATATACTACAATAAAATTTAAATATTTTAATTGGCAACATTTAAAATAAGTTTTACTTGATATTTTTAGAGAATATCATCAATACTTAATAGTTCAAAAAGTTAAAAAATTATAAATACTCTAATTTGATTATTTTTAAAAATATTTATAATAGGTAGCGGATTAAATATAATATATTATATGATGAAATGAGTTTTGATCCTTATAACTATTTGAATAGTTATATTTAATTTCATATAATTTGTTTTTTGAAATTCATAATTTTATAAACTACAAAAAAAATTTAAAGATTTTAATGTGGAATATTTTAAAATAGTGTAGAACATTTAAATATGGTTTGACACCTCTAAATATTTGAAAATTTGATTCCTCAAGCAATTTTAGAACTAACGAATAATAGATTGTGCACGCAATATTTTAAAATGAAATATTGAGATTCTAAAATAAAAATATAGACTCCACGCACGGGTTGATTTTGGTATTATTATATACTAAATATATGTTTATAACATATTCGATTATCCGAATAATTGGTAAATTCCGTAATTATAAATCTCAAACAAATTCTGTAATTAGATTAGCTCAAACAAATCTCTATTTCAACAACCAAAGAATTATAAATTGAAAAAGAATTTTCTAAATTAATTCAAAATAATAGCTAATTTTCTTAATTAATTCAAAATAATCTATGTTTTATATGCGATTCATTTATGATATTTTAATTTTTGATCTAACTGAAATATATGCAAGCCTATTTTGTGGTTGTTAACATATATTAACTCATTGTTAAAAAAATATTACTTTTTAAAAAATAAAATTATTTTCCGTTTTCATATCTTAAAAAAATTATCCACAATTGAGTATTATAGTAAAAATCTATATTTATTCTAATATTGTATATAGGAACTGACAAAAAATTAATATTTTTTCACTTACTATTATAATATATTAAAACTTAATTCTCATATATATATATATTATATAAATTTAGTACGGGTGATGATCTAGTAGCATATATTTTGAGTGTGCCAAAATTAAAATTATTTGTCAACAAAAGCACAAATAATGAGTATCATGAAAAGAAAACAAATAAATACAAAAATATTGTCAACCAAATTCTATTACGAGAAATACCCTACCAACTTAGAGCATGATTAGTGGTAGGTTCTCAATAAGTCTCTCACAATTAAAAACAATAAAAAAATATTAAATTAATGTGTTTGCTAAAAAGTGCATGAGATTCGATAACCTCATGAGAACCACTTATATGGGACACATGTCATCTTGTGAATGGTTTAAATTTTATTAGGGTAAATCAAATATCTAATAGTTTAAAAGTTAATTATATAGTTTATATGTTATTATTTTTTTTTACTTTTTTTTTTATAAATCTTAAAATAAAATTACCTATCTAACAAGTTCCATTATGCATGATTTTTTAAATTATATATTAATATTATTTTAAATAATATTAGTTAAAATTATAATAATAATAAATTAATATTATTTTTGTTAAAACACTTATTTCAAATTAATTACTAAAAATATCTGAGATTTGAAAAGTTTAAAATATATTTTGATAGTTATAAAATTATATCTTATAATATTCTATTTTGTTGACCAAAAAACAAATTATTCCCTATATATAGAGACTCCATCTCTTCATTTTTTCACACATCTAAACATTTCCCATTTTTTCTCTCTTTCTTCCCTTCTTGTTTCTCACGTCTCTTTTTTTTTTTCATGCTTTTTCCTTTACTTAAATAAATCATGGATCCAAACTATCCATTTCATTTCTCAACAAATTTTATGGATCTTCTAAATACTCAACAAGAAGGAAACACTACAAATCCTTTTCCTTTTAATTCAACTTTAAACCAAATAAATCCACCGGAAATTCCACAATATAGTACCCAATATAGTAACATGGTTTTATATGTTATTATGTATTTTTGCATTTAATTTTTTTTTTAAGGATTTATGTTATTTAATTTTATGATTAATCGTATTAATAATATTTATGGTTTTATTATTGTTACTATTACAGATTATATAAACAAATATAACTAATAAAATTTAATATATTTAAAATATAATTTGATATAATTTAAAAGATATTATTTTAAAAAATTTAGTTTAAAATAAAATATAAAATATATTTTCAGGGTAAATTATATTACAAATAATAAACTATAATAATATTGTATTGTTTTTGTTTGCAAAAAATAATTATTATATTGGTGAGAGACTTTTGGTGAGAGACTCACCAATGGAAGTAAAAAATCTGTAAAAGGTTCTCATAATAAAGTACACACAAAATAATAATATTATATTATGAGAGACTCATTTGAATCTCTCACCACTGCACATGCTCTTATGTTTTTGTTCTAAGCGCACCAAAACTAGCTTCTTTTTTTTTTTTTTTTTTTTTTCTAATAACACCACAACTTATTGTGTGATTACTTGTTTACCCTAAATAATTACCAACCAAATTAAAACATTATGTTTGAGTTCCTCTTTTCCAAATGAGGAGCTAGATTTCCTCAATTATTATGTTAGATTTTTGAACCATTTTAAGATTGAATTTGTGGTATTATTGGAAAACAAACTAATAGTGGTATGTTTAAACCAAAAACATAAAATGTGATAATACTTGAGGTACCAACTCTTTTGTTCGTTGCAATATTAAGACTTTTTTTTTAATACCTGCGAAGTATGTGTATGGGCTCTAATCTCTGCGGGTTTGGAATCCGCTTTTAATCTGCGGGACTGATTGTTCGAGTAATTACCCGATAAACTTAACCGCAAGGTAGTATATACGGGGTCGATCTACAAGAACCAATGGTACATTAAAGATTTCCGAGACTCGTTCTTAGCTAAAGCGGAAAGGTTGTTTGTTTGGTTTTCTGAATTGTAAAATAAAAATGCAACAAATTTAAACGATTAAACTTATGAATTTAAAGACATTGGGCCATGTGAAAGCCCCCTTGGCCCATTGGTTGACCAAGGGTTCATTAATGCTTCTACACCCAGAGGTCCGGTGTTCGAGTCCCGGATACTGCGATTTATTAATAAATTTGGAGATTATTGGAGGCAAGTGTGCAGGAGATCTCCAGCGATGTACAATTATAGCCGTTCGCCAGGATTCTACACAGAGAAGGAAGTGTCCATCAAAACCATGAAGAAGGAGGTGAGCATGAAGAAGGCGGTGAAGGAGGTCGTAGATCTAATAAGGGTCGGAAGGAATTTTCCGTTGTAGAATCGTCTATGTAACAGTTCTCATAATTTGCAATAATAATAAATCCAGACGACAAAAAAAAAAAAGACATTGGGCCATAGGGTATTCAGAGATCAACAAACGATGGAAACATGAGACAAGGAATTCAACAATTAAGTACCGTTCTTGAACATGAACACAACTAGACTAACTCTCTTTCAAGACATTAATCACTAAATTTGACTACTCGATTACTAAACTTTCGCATGTAATTTCCTAGTCAAATTCACATTACCAATCAAGTTCATTAAGTTCACAATGCGTCCTAACGTCAACTTTCGTTGGCTAAGAATACATTGCTCAATTCACATTGGTTCAGGCATTCTATCGAACATTTTTGATGCATAGAAAAACCTAGAATCTAAAACAGGATGGTCAATCTTATTCTAGCTTTAAGAACATGTGAATCAAAGAACCTAAAGAATAAGAACTCCTAATAACAATCAATCCATTAATCCATTGAATCTCCTAATTAGAACCCTAAAACCCAATTGAGAACTACTCACACATAGAAAAAGAGATAACAAAAAGCAATGAAGAAAACATGATGAAATTGTAGAAATAACAAGAAAGGGTTTAGAAATCTTCTCCAAATGTCAAGAGGATGGATTCCTTTGCCCCAAGTTGTTTACAAACCAAAGCACAAAGTTTAGAACTGAAAAATATCAAAGATAATGTCTCAAAGTCGAGCCTAGGGTTTTTAAAACAGTAGGGGACGAGTCGGGTCGGATCTGCAGTGAATTGGGTCAAATTTGGGCCAAGAAAACTCGTCTGGAGAAGGGATCGATCGATCCCAATGAGGATCGATCGATCTAGAGTGTCTGGACCTGATTCTTTTCCGTCAGAGGTGTGGATCGATCGATACACAAAGGGATCGATCGATCTGGAGCTTCTGGTGTCCAGTTCTGCAACTGCTTCAAATGCTCGCCAGAATGACCTGTCTTCACTAATCGGGTATAACTCTTAAATGCACCGTTAGATATCCTTCAAACCACTTGTAAACTCAAGCTAACATCTTCATCTAGCTTGTGGCAAAAATTCAGAAAGATCTAACGGTGGGAAGTACTCCATCTGAGGCCAAACGTCTGACATTTCTAAACGAAACTGCATCTCCAAAAGTGTGTTTATATCCCAAAACAGCTCGTTTTCCTCCAAACCAACCTAAAACCTGTAGAGACTCGATAAAAGACTAAAAGATTCTAAAATCACACTTTGACTCTATAAAACATATGATGTAGGAAAGAAACAAAGACTCAAAACCGATTAAAAACACAACATATCAGGGACCTCCTTATTAATGTTTTTGTTCTTTTTCAAGGAAACAACTAGATCAAAAGCCATTTGGTAATGCGAGATTGTAACGTACCTAACTTTGATTTGGTAAAAAATTTCAAATACATCGAAACATTATATATAGACAGGAAAGCTAGCACGACTATTAGTTACAAATTCAATCAGTAAGACGCCTCGACTTTTTGATACAGTCGCAGTCAACCCGAAATGAATTGCCAAGAAATAACATAACATTATTCTTACGGGAATCCACACATTGTTAATTATTTACCCCAAAAAAGAATAATCCACAAACTGTGTTTTGGAAATATGAATTAGTGTCACGCTTAGTCATGGGTATACTAACCGAAACAAACGTATTGAATCGGAATTGAACCAAAAATCAAACTGAAATTGTAAAATATGGAACCTAAAGTTTAGAACCGTTATTTTGGGTACTCTAAAATACTTGAAATATATATCCAAAAACATTAGTTAATTTTTGGTCGAATAATCAAAAATACACGGAAAAAAAAATCCAAAAAAATCTGAAAGTACCAACAAAAAAAAACCCGACTGGGTCCTAAACTCAAAAACCGGAAGAACCAGAGCAGAACCAAAATTGTTTTGGTACGTATGTCTAAATTATAAAACCGAAAAATTTCGAACCAAACCAGAAACTATCCTGACGTCCAGGCCTATCACTTCAAATAAAAATAATTGTTAGGCAAAAAAAAAAAAAAACAAACGAAAAGGAATTTCGGTTACGCCAAGTATGATTAGAAGTACGCTAAAACATCCCCTATATCTTTGGGATATAAATTTTATCCAAAGATATTTTCTTTATTTCAAGTTGAGAAATACACTAAGACTCGAGGAATCTTGCTTGCGGTAGCAGAGAAAAATGCTCAAACAATTTCCTAGCATAGATGACGACCGAAAACCCTTACAGGAAAAAGACGCTTGCGACGTTGGTGGTATGAGTCCTCACTTGTACAACCTTTACTTCACAGGTTTAGTAAGAGATGACTCGTTGGCTGTATTTGAGGTTGCAATTTGCTGGCAGAAAGATAATCTCTTGCTTCAGCTGAATGGACCAATTCATGGCTCGAACATTACTATTTTGGAGGCTGAGCTTACGACATTGAAGCTAGGACTCACTCGTATCTCAATCTACTGTGATTACTATCCAATCTACCATTTTGTAAGTTTTAAAAAAGCATTGAATTTTATAAGGCTTATGTCAATACTCATTAGTGTAATTGATTATCAATAGCATTGGCGGTCTTCTTCTCCTCTGGCACAGATCTTCCTGTGACCTACATTATAGGAAAATGAAATCTAATGAAACCATTTACAACCAATGCTATTGATAGAAGTCCAAAATAATACGCAATGTAACCTCCGCAATTGCGTATTATTTTGGACTTTGTAGGATTAATCTGCATTTTTCGTAGTTGAAGGGTAAAGTTGCAAAAATGAACAAGTTGGAGGATTTTTTTCTGCACAAACCCTAAAAACAAATCTCTCTATAAATTAATATCACTTAAAATTAATTTTCATAAACATTATTAATTTATAGAAGTTTGACTTTACATGAATGAGTCATCTAAGACTCGAGAACCATATTACTCTTGCAATAAGCAGAGAAAACATATGCTTAGCTCGGTAACTGCGAGTCTTACCAATTTTTGGATTTTAGATATTCGTCTCTCTAATACTTGTATTAAGGAAATCGAGAAGATTTGCTCGGCATTTCTCTGGTCGAGGCCGAATTTTAGCACTCATAAAGCAAAAATTGCATGGGCTGAAGTTTGTAGACCAAAGGAGGAAGGTGGCTTGGCACCAAGTGAATTGCTGAGGTAAACAAAGTGAGTTGTTTTAAGCTAATATGGTGGATTGCTTCATGGAAGAACTCTCGATAGGTTAGTTGGATCCAACGGCAGTTGATTCGCTCTGGTCCCTTTTGGTGTATTAAGGAGAACACAACCTTGAATTATGTATGTGGAAGAAACTTCTTAAATATTGAATGTATGCAAAAGGTCATCCCTTGAAAAAAAGATAAAAACAAGGAAGAACCTAGTCACAGAGCAAATGAGTAGAAAAATCTAGTCATATTTTAGCCAAATTTGCATTAGGCTTTTGAAACGTTTGCGCTTCTTCTTTGTTAGAATTGCGTCTCGAATTTGTCTGTCCAAACCCTTGAACAAGAGAAGAATGTCTGTGGAAATATTGGTCTGGTACCTGTTGTTTCTCTCCAACCAAATGGAGTAAACCGTTGCTTGAGAAACCAGCCCGCCGTAGTGTCCGATTGAGATGTTGTCTTTTAAGTTCAGCCAAGCCGAGAAAGCATCCCATGAATGAAAGGTAAAAGAGTTGTAGCCTAACCTTCTTGTTACTTTAGACCAAAGGGTTGACTTACTTCGCAGTGGAGAAAAACATGTTCTCTAGTTTCCAGGAAATAATCAGAGGATACAATTTGTCTCAATTTGGAGACCCCGATTTGCAAGCCTTACTCTTGTTGGACGCCGATCCAGGTGCATAAGTTACATCATGAAAGCATGCCTGGGAATGGCTCACATTGAGAACAATCTGTATTTCTTATACAAACACTTCAGAACGAATCAATGTACAATCTTATGAGTTAGATCTCCTAAGCTCCCTCATCACAGTCACATGTATACAATGTTTGTGACACACAAATAAACAGTTTCATTAAAAAAAAAAAATCTTGGGCCTCTTTGGGGGGCTTTAATATTGACCTAGAATATAAAGTCGTAACTGCTCGACAAATTTCCTTTGTCAATTGTTTTCCTTTATTATAATTTTCTTTTTCGGTTAGTGTTTTTATTATAATGACCTAAAATATAGAAGCCGTACTTGCTCGACAAGTTTCCTTTTTGTTTTCCTTTATTATAATTTTCCTTTTGGTTAGTGTTTTTCTTATAATGACCTAAAATATAAAAGCCGCACTAGCTCGACAAGATTTTGTAACACTCCGATTTCAGGAATAGGACCTAGAAAAGACGTGGGTGCTCATTGGTAGGGGCGGTCGGGGCCTTCCAAGTTTCTTTTGTCAATTGTTTTCCTTAATTATAACTTTCCTTTTCGCTTAGGTTTTTTCTTCTACTTAGGTTAATTATTTTTGTTCTTTAATCTCTTTTGTCGTTCGATCTCTATTAAAAGAGACTCGCATGCTCTGTTGTTATTTCACGTTTATAAAATTAAGAAAACTTTATTCACAAACCTTGCCTTGAATTCGTTACCACTATTGCTAGCTGATTCTGATATTGCAATAATATGCAACGTATAAGACAACGATTTTCGTCTATCTTTCCAAATTTGGTGCCTGTGAATTCTCCTCACCAAGCCAAGGCTACTTGCAGTATCTGTTTTGATGATGATGTTAATGCTAATCGGATGTTTTCCGTTGATAGATGTCATCATCGATTCTGCTACGACTGTGTGAAACAGCATATAGAGGCGAGGCTACCCGAGGGAAGTGTGATTAGATGTCTTCATTACCGCTGCAAGTCTAACTTGACTTTTGGAAGCTGTGAAAGTTTTTGACACCTAAACTAAAAAAGATGTGGCAACAAAGAATCAAAGAGGACTCGATTCCTGTAACAAAGAGAATTTATTGCCCAAACCCGAGGTGCTCGGCTTTAATGTCAGTAAACAAGCTTTGTAAATCTACTAAAGAAGCTCAAGTTAGGAAATACTGCTACAAATGCGGTGAACTCTTTTGCATCAACTGCAAAGTTCCGTGGCATAGTAACTTGTCGTGTAACGATTATAAGAGACTGGGTCCAAATCCTACAATAGATGATTTAAAGTTCCAAGCTTTAGCAAATCAGAACTTGTGGCGTCAATGTCGAAATTGCCGACACATGATTGAACTTTCTGAGGGATGCATCAGTGTAACTTGCAGGTATCATATCTATTAATAACATAATTCTTTCAAATTTGGTTATATGTTTTAATCTGATATAGCATTGCATTTTCATCGTAGATGTGGACAAAATTTTTGCTACCAATGTGGAGCTAAGGCTGGAGGTTGCCATCATGGTCATGTCGTTCCTCCAAGGCCTCGATTGCCACCACATCCTCTATCACCGCCGCCACCACTGCCATCATTGCGGCCACCACTTTTTGTTTGCATCTTGTCCTGTTTTTTGATTTTTTTTGTCATATACTTTTTCTCTTGGCACCTTGATAATTTACCAATGCTAAAGTTTTATGATCGATAGCTTTACCAAAAGAAACAATAGTATGTAAGTTTTTGAGTTTATTTATCAATCTTAAACTTTAAATTTTCACAATTTATATATCTGTAGTACTGGTTATTTTTACCAAGTATCTCTTGGGTTAGTAACGAATTTAATTAGGCTCCCTGAGTCCAAGATTTTTTTTTGGAGGGGTTGCGATTTATTTAAAGAGAAAAACATCTATAGAAAGGCCACAATGCCACCAACTTCTACACCTGCGAGTGCAAGAGATGAGCATAGTTCCAAACAAATCGTTCCTCGTCTCCTATTGTGCCCAACAAACCTATGATCTTGATTTGTTATCTCTCATGTCTGCTCTGACATAGTTTGCGTCACTAGAGCACCACTGAGGTTTCAATAATTGGAAACTACAGAACCTTGACTTTAATGAATAAGGAAGGTTTCCCATATGTTCGTGTGTTCTTCTTCCTTATCAGAGCAAAACGACATATGACCAAGGCGTTCTTACATTTTTTTAGTGTTCTAGTTTTTTTACCCATAGTAGCCACAAAGAAAATTTAAAAGAGTAGAGCTTAACAATTACAATCAAAAAGCTTTCTATATTCTTCATTGGAAAAAAAAAGCAAAATAAAAATAAATCTTTTATGATAACCCAAAATATATTTCGAGTCATAACTGTCTTCTTATTATTATAACCTATTTTTAATCTGTGAGACACAACACAACCCTATCTTTTATGCTTAGGGTTTTTCCTTTAGGCTCTTTAACTCTCTTATTTTTTTAGTAGTTCGATCTCTATTTCAAAGAGACTCGCATGCTCTGGTTTTTTAGTTCACGTTTATAAAATTAAGAGAAACTTTCTTCTCAAACCTTTCCTTGAATTTGTTTCCACTTTTGCTTGCTGATTCTGATCTTTGCAAATAATATGTCACGAATACGAAAACGATTGGCGTCGATCTTTCCGACTTTTGGGGTCAGAAATATGATCAGATTTGCTTATAAACTAGCAAGGGAAGCAATAGTTTCTGATATTACTAGGCTTGTGAATCGTCCTCGCCAAGCCAAGGCTACCCGCAAAAGGACTTGCAGTATCTGTTTAGATGATGATATTAATGCTAATCAGATGTTTTCCATTGATAAATGTCGTCATAAATTCTGTTACGAGTGTATGAAACAACATATCGAGGTGAGGCTACTCGAGGGGAGTGTGATTAGATGTCCTCATTACAGCTGCAAGTGTAAGCTGAGTTTTGGAAGCTGTGTCAATCTTTTGTCACCTAAACTAAGAAATATGTGGCAAAAAAGGATCAAAGAGGACTCTATTCCTGTAAAACAGAGAATTTATTGTCCAAACCCGAGGTGCTCCGTTCTAATGTCGGTAAACGAGCTCTCTAAATCTACTAAAGAAGCTGGAGTTAGGAGATACTTCTCTAAATCTACTAACGAAGCTAGAGTTAGGAGATACTGCTTGGAATGCGGTCAAGTCTTTTGCATCAACTGTAAAGTTAAATGGCATAGTAACTTGTCGTGCGACGATTACAAGAGACTGGGTCCAAATCCTACTGCTGATGATATAAAGCTTAAAGTTTTAGCAAATCAGAAAATGTGGCGTCAATGTGAAAAGTGCAAACACATGATCGAACTTTCGGAAGGATGCATCAAAGTAACCTGCAGGTATATCACCTCTATTAATAACATTCAAACTTGGTTATATAGGTTTTAATCATTGCATTTTTATCGTAGATGTGGACATAAGTTTTGCTACGAATGTGGAGCCAAGGCTGGAGGTTGCCGTCATGCTCTTTTCCATATGTATCTCCCAATGCAACAACAGTCCCCGTTACCACCGAGGCCACCACTTTTGCCATTACCGCCCATGGAGCATCCACCAGTGTGGTTTACCATCTTGTGCTTTGTTCTCATTTGTTACTTATTTTATATTTTTTTGGCTTCTTAAAATAGTATGATCGGTTCTGTGGGTTAGGGAATACTAGTTACAAGAAAAAAACAGAATACAATTCGAGATCTTAGGATACTTTCTCTAACGTCTTTCATTTACTAACTTGATACGATCTAGTGAATGAAAGTCTACTTTAAAATTTGCCTTGCATGGTCAGTCGGATATTCCAAAAGTAGATTTACTAATCAAATGCAATCATATTTATGCAAAGACCATTGCATGACTTGTATATAAAGATTTTCTGTACAAATAAAAATTTCAAAACTCTCTAAAAATCTCGACAATTCTGAAGTTGTCTTATTCTCGTAATCTCGTGACAAGAGAATAGGAAGTTTTCTTATTTTATTTTTGGAAATTAATCATCTTTTCTATTCTTTAGGAAAATTGCTCAATTAAACTTCCTTTTATAAACAATTAAATATACACTCATATAGCTAGCAGTTCAGTCATCCAATTCTTTATTCTTTACCTTATAGTTTATTTTTCTTTACTTCATCGGAAAGCAATTTAGAGTTCTTTTGTTGCCCTAGCACAAACCTATTCCCACGAGTCATATATCGGACGAAGACTCCTAAGGAAAAAAAAAAAAAAAATTCTTAAAGTATGCGCAACATATATATGGAGGAAGAAGGCATTCTAGTACGAGAAGATGGTCCAAAACTCGCTGAAAAATCATCTCCGGGCGACTTCAATTCTGACTCTTACAGCCTTACTTCAAGGGTTTTATAAGGGAGGACTCACTGGCAGGATTTGGGGTGGCAATTTGCTCACAAGAGGATGATAGTGTCTTGTTTCAAATGAAGAGATCAATTCTTAACTCCACCATTACAGTTTTGGAGGCTGAAGTAATGGCATTAAAGCGAGGATTAACCGAAGCCGTGAGTTTGGGGATAAATCATATCTCCATCTGCTGCGATCATTACCAGATTTATGAATTGGTAAGTGTTCCTTGGCTGTTAAGGTTCAAATGTCTTTGATTCAGTCTCGTAATTGACGTTTTGCCTTGAATATTTTAGGTCATGGGGAGATCTGCGCCTGAGCATGAGAACATCACCTTGCTAATGGATGACGTGCACCGCATCAGACAGCAATTGACATCTAGCATCCCTGTTCTGATGACTGGAAACCAAGCTAGGGTTGCTTATAAACGTGCAATGGAAACCGTAGCTTCTGAAATCAGCATAAGTATGCCTGCTACTTGCTGTATATGTTTAGATGATGATTTCGAAGCTAAGAAGATGTTTTCTGTTACTTTATGCGGTCATAAATTCTGCATAGAATGCCTCGAACAAGATATAGAAGTAGGACTTCTAGAGGGAAATGTGATAAGATGTCCTTATGACGGCTGCAAGTCTAAGCTGATTCTTAGAAGCTGTGCCCATCTTTTGACACCTAAAGTAAGAGAAATGTGGGAACAAAGGATCAAAGAGGACTCAATTCCGGTATGGGACAGATTTTATTGCCCAAAACCAAAGTGCTCGGCTATAATGTCGAAAACCGAGCTCTTTGAATCTACTGAAGAAGATGGATACATGAGATGCTGCGTCAAATGCAATAAACCCTTTTGCATCAACTGCAAAGTTACCTGGCATAGTAACTTGTCGTGCGAGGATTTCAAGAGATTGGGTCCAAATCCTACAGCAATGTGGCGTCAATGTAGAAAGTGCCAAGACATGATCGAACCATCGATAGAACGCATTAATGTAACTTGCAGGTATCATCTCAAATCATATTCGGCAGCTGTATATATAAACCTTATGGGAATTTGATTACATGTTCGCCTATTTATTAACATAGTAATTTCATCATTGATGGATAGATGTGGCTATTCGTTTTGCTACAAATGTGGAGCCGAATGGAAGCTAAAAGGCGGTTGCTATCATCGCTACGATATGATAATGAAGATTGTTTTCTTAGTTTTGTTCTTTGCCGTTATAATATTAATATGTCTTTTATGGGAGGACTACAAAAGAATTAGGCGTGGCCAAATTTTTTGATAGTGTTAATTAGGTTTTGGGTTGGGTTTGAGTTAAGTCTCAACGGTTGGAGGTTGCCTTCACCATCACGGAATGGTTGTGGGGAATGCGTACTTTAGCCTTTTTCTCCTTCTTTTTTCAGTGTTTTAAACATTACTTGTGGATCCTCTTTGCCAAGCTATATGGCTAGTGAGACTTCTTGTATCTCTAGTTTTTCTTATTCTATCTTTATTCTTAAGAAATCATGTTATTCTTATATTGTTCTAAAATCTATCTATGTCTATAAGGTGCTCACTTGTCTCTGGGACATTCTCTTTAATGATGTTTTCCAGAAGCAAAATACAGAGGAAAATGCTTTCTTCTGTTTTATTTGGGTTTAGACTTACTTTTTTTTTTTATTGTCTATTATATTCATCCATCAAAAATTGATACTAAAATAAATTATAGAAATATTGAAAACTTGTGAGGCAAAGGATTCATATTTCTTATGGTGAGCCGCCTTATAAACTATTAGAATTTAGAAGGCCCTTTTCTCGTTCATTTATCTAGCACTTGTGGAGGTAGAGAATATTTTTTTCTGGTCAAGCAGATTTTATAGATAGATAGCTTAATCTCAATCAATGGAGAAATTGTGGTTTTCTAGCCAAAATTATGATTGTGGTTTTTTATTCTCTTGTTAAAACCAAGACTCTTAGGTGAATCCAAAAACCGTTAATTTTTACCAAACTAAAGAAAATCCACAACCTTATTCAAAATTATCAATGTCACGCCGTTCCCAATGAGAATGTATAAAAAAAAAATTAAGGTGATAGAACTTTCCCTTCATTTTCGGGATAATATTACCTACTTTATTTTTTTTTTACTAATTTTAAAGTTAAGATTGTTTATCAGAAATCTATAAAAATATATTTTCCCTGATTTTTTTATTTTACCATATACATGAATGAAAATTACTCTTGCGGTAACAAGAGAACAAGATGCTGAAGGGATTTACCCACTCGAGCACTAGTCCTCAGTTGTGTAGCCTTTACTTCAAAGGTTTGGTTGGGGATGACTCATTGGCTGGATTTGGTGTTGCAATTTGCGGGCATAGAGATGATATCTTGTTTCAGCTGAATGGACCAATTCATGGCTCGGATATTACAGTTTTAGAGGCTGAACTTATAGCATTGAAGCGAGGACTAACGGAAGCTGCGGGTTTGGGGATCGATCATATCTCGATTTATTGTGATTATTATCCCATTTACGAATTAGTAAGTTTTTTTCTTGGCTGTTTATAGTTATAGAAATATATATGTATGTGAGTAGGAACTATTTTTGTTTTTGTTTTTTCTTTCTTTAACAAGCATTACTAAAATTCTCTCGTCCTATTGAATAGATTTCATTTTCGGGAAGATTCGTGACAGAAGAGAATAAGATTGCCTTACTAATTAATGATGTGAAACGAATAAGAGAAGGATTTAAGTCGAGCTTTCCGATTTTTGTAGCCGGAAACAGTATTAGATATGCTTATGAACTAGCAAGGGCGACAATAGTTTCTGAGATAAGAAGACATGTGGATCCTCCTCGCTACGTCAAGCTGGCTAAGAAAAGTACTTGTCCTATCTGTTTCGATGATGATTTAAAAGCTGAGGAAATGTTTTGTGTTGGAAAATGTTGTCATCTATATTGTTCTGAGTGCATGAAACGACATATAGAGGTGAAGCTACTTGAGGGACGTGTGCCGAGATGTCCTCATTATGGCTGCAAATCGAACATGACTCTTGGAAGCTGTGCCCATCTTTTGACACCTAAATTAAGAGAGATGTGGGAAAGAAATATCAAAGAGGACTCAATTCCTGTGTGGGACAGATTTTATTGTCCAAAACCAAGTTGCTCGGCTTTAATGTCGATAACCGAGCTCTCCAAATGGGCTAGAGAAGCTGAAGTTAGGAGATGTTGTTGCATTAAATGTGGTGAATCCTTATGCATCAACTGCAAAGTTCCATGGCATAATAACTTGTCATGCAACGAGTACAAGAGATTGCATCCAAATCCTACAGAAAATGATGAGAAGTTCAAAGATTTGGCAAATCAGAAAATGTGGCGTCAATGTGGAAAGTGCCAACACATGACCGAACTTTCGGAAGGATGCATCAAAGTAACTTGCAGGTATCATCTATAGAAACACATCATATGTTATTATGATTCTTTTGGAATTTGGTTATGTTTTTGCTTAATTAAAACACATTGTAATGTCCATGGTTGATGTATAGATGTGGCTATTCGTTTTGCTACACATGTGGAGCCGAATGGAAGCGAGGAGGTTGCCCTCATCGACAAAGGATGCATACAGCGTTTACTATTGTAGTTTGTGTTCTCGTTTTAATAATTCTTTTGTTCTTGTTAGCGTAGATTAATAACATAATCGGTTTTGTAGATTTTTCATGTTGCTAAATTTTTTACTTTCCTTAATGCCTATGTCAGGCAATTCCAAATGAATCAAAAAAAAAATAACATAAAACAAAAAAATTGAAAGAAGAGAATTGTTTCTTCTTCCATTCTATATGAAAGTGTTATGTAGTAAACTAGGTTTTGACATGCGGTGTACCGCATGGCGATATTTTTTTAAAAAATTATGAATTTTTAAGTATATATGAACTAAGACTTGCGGCCCCCTGCTTGAAAAACTATTCTCGAAACCCGCGAAAGTACATAGTATGTACGCATCCCCTTGCTTGATTTCACAAGACTTGCGGCCATTTTACTAAATTCCTTTTCTAATTTATTTTTGTCAGTATCACTCTTCTAATTTAAAGGGAAAAACTAATATTAATAATAAATAATTAATGATATTTGCCTTGATAATATGATAACTAATAATAACATTAATAAAATTAATATTTATAATTCAAACTAATATTAATTAACAAACTTAATTTTTGATGATTAATTTATGTACTTATAAAATATTTTAAGATTTTAATATTATTTATATGTCTAAATGTGGATAATGATTAACTCAATAATTGAAGAATGAGATACTGAAAACGAATATCAATTAAGATATACAAATCTTAAAATACTTGAATATCCAAATAGTTTAATTGTTAGTGTCGATTTTAATGCATTCTTTAATTTGGATTTTTTTTTTTGATAAATATTTTCAAAAGATAATCACATTAATGACTCAGAAAATTAAGGAAGATTCGATTTCACTATTCTCGAAATCGTTTTGGTAATATATAATGAGAATCTATAGAAAATCTATGTACATCTTTGAAAAAGAAGAGAATCAATCAATACTAACCAGAAATGGTTGCAAATATTACTAATTTCGGATAATAAATTATCAGCTTCTCAAGCACGGTTACAATAGTCTCTCCTCTTTCTTATATATTTGCTCATTAACTTTCCCACAAATCTTGGGAACTAAAGACAAAACAGTCATGGATAGAGACGAAGTAGGTATGATTTCGAAGAAACGGAAGGTAGATGGAGATACACCAAACCTTGAAGGTGAGGGTTCTTTAAAGGTCGTCGAAACTCAATCTGCGGCGGCAAAATTTGAGGAAAATGTCGTCTACAGATTGTACTCGAAGGGTTTGGTGAGTACGGATAATGTGGCGGCTGGATTTGGGGTCGCCATTTGTGATCAGACGGATGAGTTGTTGTTTAAGATGAAGGAATCAGTGAGTGACGTTGAAGGAGTTGAGGTTAGGGCTTTGATTCGTGGGTTAAGTGAGTCACTCGATTTAGGGATCAAAAAGGTCATGATTTACTGTGATGATCGTGAGCTTTACCAAAACGTAAGTGTTTTCATTACTTTGGTATTGCTTAGCTAGTTTATTTATGCACTTTTAATCGATTTATTAGACTCTCTAAATTGGCCTGTAGATAATTTGTGTCTGGTAAACCTGGTTAATGCTTAATTAGTAGTGCCAGTTACGAGTTTAGATAACCTTTTCTCGTGAATATTTTGGCACTTTTTTTTTTGAATGTAAGGTTAAATTATATTCAAAGAAAAATAAATTTTTTACAACTAGTGCAACGAGTTATCGAAAGAAAGATTTGAAACTACCACAATCTGAAATTCTAAAAAAGATTGAAAAAATGTTTTGAAAACTGATCAAGCTCGAGCTCGGAACCAAACTTGGAACGCCGTGTCGTACCTCCTGTCCCCCATATGTCTAATGGTAGTGGTTTGATTTTGGCACTTTCATAATAATATATTCTTTCTCAAACTTTTTAATCTATATCATATCTTGTTTTGTGATGACGATTTCGATTGTGATGTTATCACGTCTTGGTTTAACAAAACTGAATCTGATTTGCAATGCAGATAACAACTGGTAAATGTAAACGTAAGCAGAAAAAAGTTGTCAAACAACTTATAAAAGAAGTTCAACGCGCGCCTTAGGGAGAAATTTGCTTCTAGCGAAGCAATTCTGGTTGCCGAAAACAACATTAAGTTTGCTTTTGAACTTGCAAGAGAGGCAATTGTTTCTCAAACCTACAGTGACGATGATGATGGACATGATGGTGACAATAATGACTATGAAGATGATAATCCTTGGGCTTACGGTTGTGGTTGTGATTGGTGTATACCTGATCCTCCCGCTAAGTCCGATTTCGATGCCGAATACATTGAATATTATAGTCTTTAGTCTCTGTGTTTGGATTAGATTTCACAGTTGTTTTGAAACACTTCATATCTTTCTTTGGTTTTTTTCTTTGTTTAATTTGAGTTTAAGTTGTAAGCTCTGCACGGCTTTTGGATTTTTTTTTTTTTTTTTTGGTCAACAGCTTAAATAAAATAGATGCTCAAAAGAGCCATTCCTGGGGAATGTTGTTTACATAAGTGATATGATGCGGTTCGGTACGAATTTTTCGTGCCAAATTATCCGCTTTTACATTTGCGCTACGCGGAATTAAAGATAAAGAAAAATTAGAGAATTCTTCCTTGTCACTCTTCAAATCTTCCAAATACACTGAGAAGGCCGGCCATTCGGTTGGGGAAGACACCATCTTCACCAAATCTGAACAGTCTGTAAAGAAAGCTACATCTTGGTTGTCAGCACCAATCATACACTTCATCGCCCAGAGTAGAGCTTCGACTTCTGTATGTAGGGGGGATAGACTTCGCCGGATGTTTGCAGCTCCCATGGTTGGCATCTCTCCATTTGCCGATGTACAGTACCACCCTGTTCCTGAAAAAATATCTGTCCTTTTCCATGATCCATCCACGAAACACCGATGTCCGGAGTAACTGGAATCCAATGAAATCTCTCTCACGCGATTTCGAGTTACAGTATCTAAAGAACCTTGGTTGTCAATATGTAGCTCAGATTGAGCAACCTGCCAAGCTTGTGCCTCTTTCTCCGCTAAATGTAGAACCTCTAATGGGTCTTTATCCACATTATCAAAAATCTTCTCGTTTCTCGCTTTCCAAATATACCAAATTATCCATGGAAATGAAGATGAATCAATCTCTGATGGAATTCTCCAGAAAAGATGATCCAAGTTCGCGTAAATAGAAGCCGAGGGAAAAATCCCTGTAACCGAAGGGATGGGAGAAAGAGCCCAAATTTGTCTTGCAGGATGACATTCAAAAAGTGTGTGATTAATTGTTTCCTCCGCAGCGCCACATCTAACACATCCGGTGTCACAATTTATACCTCTCTTTCTCAGATTCTCTGTAACAGGTACGTAACCTGATAATATTTGCCACAAAAAATGTCGTAGCTTTGGTGGACACTTCACCTTCCATGCATAAGCTTTCAGAGATTTGATATCCGGGCCAAAAAATTTAAGGTTAGCATCAGAAGTCTCTATCCGTGCGGTATGGTAACCCGATTTAACCGTATAATTGCCTGACTTTGTGAAATGCCAACCAAGGGTATCCTCCTTAGTTGAGACACCCAAAGGCAAAGCACTAATCAGCGCGACATCCTCTGGATCAAAAAACTCCGCCAAGAGATTCATATTCCAAAAGTTTGACCGGCTGTCGATAAGTTGATTAACTTTTAAAGATGGGTCAGTAATTGAACCATTACTTTTTGCTGGTCTCGGGAATTGAGCTGGTATCCATGAGTCCTCCCATACTGAGATGGACGCCCCAGAACCAACTCTTTTAATAAGTCCTTTAAGAACCAGAGATCTAGCTGACATTATACTTCTCCAACCATAAGAAGGAGAGTACGATTTTATATTATCCAATGGATTGGATTTCCGGAAATACCGTCCTTTAAATACCCTTGCAAATAGTGACTCATGAACCATAATCAAACGCCATAATTGTTTAGCCAGTAACACTGAATTAAAATCATCCACGTTCTGAAATCCCACCCCACCTTCCGATTTACTACTACAAAGTTTATCCCAAGCCATCCAATGCATTCCCCTCGATTCACCGTTTGAGCTCCACCAAAATTTTGCGACCGCACTCATAAGTTTAGAAGTTATTGATTTTGGTAGTCTGAAGCATGACATAACATATGTTGGTAATGCCGCAGCTACCGATTTAATCATAACTTCTTTTCCGCCTTTCGATAAAAACTTAGCCGACCAACCATTTATCCTAACCTGAAGTCTATCTCGAACAAAGGAGAAAATCTTTGTCTTAGATCCACCAAGGCTTTCCGGTAGACCAAGATAAGATCCCATGCCACCAAGATTGTGGATACCCAGAACCGCTTTTATTTCTTCCTTAATAGACTCATCAACTTTGTAGCCAAACTGAAGAGATGATTTTGAAAAATTAATTTGTTGCCCTGAAACCGCTTCATATTGTTTTAGAATTCCCAAAATTACCCCGCATTATTCTTTATTGGCTTTGCAAAAGAACAAACTATCATCAGCAAATAAGAGATGAGATACCGACGGGCTAGCTGTATTATTTGATTTTCTATATTATTATTTGAATATTTTCACTTATCAATAAACACATTTTGGTATGAGTTTCATTTTGCACATTTTTAAAAATTTCAACTTTTTTCGTTTTCTCTTATTCCATAAAATTTAAATATACAGGCTGATTGTTTAGCCTGAAATGCTTGTATTTATCTTTATGATATATGCGTTATGACATCAGAATTGTAAATGTTTCGTGGAAGCCCCCTTGGCCCATTGGTTGACCAAGGGTTAATTAATGCTTCTACACCAAGAGGTCTGGGGTTCGAGTCCCAGATATTGCGATTTATTAATAAATTTGCAGATTAAAGGAGGCAAGTGTGCAGGAGATCTCCAGCGAAGTACAATTATAGCCGTTCGCCAGGATTCTACGCAGAGAGAGAAGTGTCGTTAGGTCGTGGATCATTGAAGGTGTCCGTCAAGAGCATGGAGAAGGAAGTGTCGTCTGTCGTGGATCTAATAAGGGTCGGAAGGAATTGTCCGTTGTAAAATCGTCTATGTAACAGTTCTCATAATTTGCAATAAATAATAAATCTAAACGTCAAAAAAAAAGAATTGTAAATGTTTCACTTCTGGTTTACATTTCTAAACCGGATTAAATTAAAGAATTTTGTTTACAAAATAATGTTTACTTACAAAAAAAAGGTAAACAAGATTACGAAAATCCTATAAAAATTGCTTCTATTTCAAAAAGTCTAGCCGCTGATCTCTTGCCTTGTTGTTGTGTCCCTTGTTTACTCTGATTCTCTTGATTTGTGGAGCTTTCTATTCGGAAAATTTGCAAGAAATACATATCTTCTTGTTAATATAATCCAAAATTTTAATGAAAAACATAAGTGAGACTAGAATCCTAATGGAGGTCACATTAAGGTTGTAGCGCTAGATTTTAACATTTACCAATAATGATTGATCAATTAATCTGTAAACTTAATACGTATTGATATTTTCACCATAAAAAAATAAATGTTTTGATTCTAAAAGGAAAACATAGTAGAATATTGTCATCTATACTATTAATTGGGAAGCACTCAAACATAAATAACTTTATAAAGTGTAAAGTATTACAAAAATGTCATTGATTTTAGTTTTTAAATAAATTCATTAAACATACAATAGTAATCACAAAATAATATATTTAAATAAAAATTATAAAATTCTTTAAAGTAATTATTAGTTTCCAAAAAATTAAACTCACTTTCTCTCTCTTATTAATTATGGACGAAAATTTAAATTTGTTTTTAAAAAAATTGAAAACCAATGAGAATTGAAAAACTAAGATTTGATATCCAACTAAAATTTTATCTAAACCAATCCTAATAAACTATTCTATATCAAAAATAAAAAGAAAAATAATACCATTTTAATTCAATTTTTTTTTTTTTTTTTTTTTTTTTTTTTTTTTTTTTAAATTTTAATTCAAAATTAAAAACACTATAGTGTAAAAAATTTTATCAATAGAGAATTTGAAGATTGAATTTGAAATTTCGTAAAAAAAATTAAATACAAATATTTAAGACTCAGTTTTGTTATAATATTTTCACAAATTTTGAAATATAAAACAAAATTTTATTTCACAATTTCTAAAAAGACGATATTGGGCATTCATTTAGAGCAAGTTTCGGAAATATCTAAACAATAGATTGTACATATTAAATTCGAAATATTTTGTGTTTTCTTTTTTTTTCTTCTCAACCGGATCTTCTTTACACCAATCCATAATATATTGCACACAGTTTTCGAAATAATGTGAACTAATTATATATTTTGCATTCAAAACAAATTATGCAGCAATAGCTTATCCCTTTTACAGATATATCTCAAATTTTAGTTTTAGTCCAAAAAATCGAATTAATTATGATTAAACAGTGAAAAGAAAAATATGCAAAATTTAGCCAGAAACATTAATAAATTTGTTAAAATATATTTATAACTTTAACAGCATACATATTAATCCGCAAAACTCACAGTATATATTGTAATATTGTATGGTATTTAAAGGTAAGCAAACAAGAATTTGGAGCATAATTTTAATGGAATAAAATGGAAATAGAAATTACGAGACGAGATGGAAGGGGAACATATATTAAAAATCAAACTAAATACCCAACTGGTATGAGTTCGGATTATGAGCACTATATAAAATAATTTGTTTACACATAACCATGTACATACGTTTTCAGTTACACATACTCTATTTATGACAGATATGGGACCGTAATATTTTTCTTTTACGTGTACGTGACAAGTTATGGGACAAAGAATTTATGACAGATATCGGACAGGATATGTTTCCTGTTCCAAAATAGTTACGCCTTGCTAATATACATGAAATAACCCAAACTAAAACCGAATTCATATCCTATTTAACATATGTAATCAAACTGTTAAAACTGTTTTGATTAGTTAAGAAAATAAAATGTAACACCATTTAACTTTTGCAACTATATTAGTCCGGATCTTAAAATATAATTATGCATTAACGCAACTAAATTTTTTGTTCATTACTCTAACTTTATAGTATTTATATTATTACGAAGTTCACTAATACAACAAAATATTTTATATTTTTAAAATCTATATAACAATTTCTATAAAAATATTTCTATACGTACGTGGATCCAGATCTAATACACTAAAATATATATCATAAAACAACAAAATAATCTATATTGAATTAAATTTTGTTAAAAAAATTTTAAAATATGAAACCCCGCACGTACGTGCGGGTCATGATCTAGTATCTTATTAAGAACACCATTTCACATTTGTCATTTAGTAATTGCCTATATTGGTTTTCTTTTTCTCATAAATTTAAATTTAATTAAATAATTCAATTCTATTATAACTATAATGTTTTTTTGTTAAGATATTCATGAGAGTATCCAAACTAATGGATATGCTCTAGCTTCCGTTTCTTTCTCGTTTATTGTTTTCAATAGTTTTTTTGTTGCGTTTAGTTGGAGCCGCCTCTGCTACATATATATATTACGAGTCATAAAACCTACCTTAGGACTAAATAATCTCAAAGTTTGCACAAAAGGTACGAGAAGATGGCCCCAAAACCCATCTCACCTGACGGTTCAAGTTCTGACTCGTACAGCCTTTACTTCAAGGGTTTGATAAGCTTGATAAGCTTGAAGCCAACAACGGGTTTATTGGCTGGATTTGGGGTTGCTATTTGCAGAGAAGAGGATGATAGTATCTTGTTTAAGAACAAGGGTTCACTTAATTACTCCGGCATTACAGGTTGGGAGGCTGAGCTTATGGCACTGAAGCTAGGACTTGCCAAAGCCGTGAGTTTGCGGATCAATCATATCTCAATTTACTTTGATGATCCTGAGATTTTTGAATTGGTAAGTTTTCTTGGCTCTTAAGTTTCACATGTGTTTGCTTCAATATCTTAATCGATGTTTTCCTTGAATGATTAGGTCATGGGGAGATCTGTGCCTAAGGATGAGAAAATCGCCTTGCTAATGGATGATGTGCAACGCATCAGACAACAGTTTATATCTAGCATCCCTATTCTTGTGGCTAGAAATCAAACTGAGTTTGTCCATAAACTTGCAAAGGAAACAATAGTTTCTCGCCTCATCGGACCTATGCCTCGTACTGCTCAGAAGAAGACTTGTGGTAACTGCTTTGACGATGTTATCAAAGGTGAGAAGATGTTTTCCGTTGCTTTATGCCGTCATCAATTTTGTGTGGACTGCATGAAACAACATATAGAAGTGAGTCTAAACAAGGGAGGTGTACCAAGATGTCCTCATGATGGCTGCACATCAAACCTGAATCTAATAGCTTGTACCCATCTTTTGACACCTAAACAAAGAGAGATGTGGAAACAAAGGATCAAAGAGGAGTCAATTACTGTATATGACAGATTTCATTGCCCAAATCCAAAGTGCTGGGCTTTGATGTCGAAAACCGAGCTCATTAAATCTACTGAAGATGGAGTTAGGAAACACTGTTTTAAATGCTGGAAACCCTTTTGCGTTAACTGCAAAGTTCCGTGGCATAGTAACTTGTCTTGCAAGGAATACAAAAGATCGGGTCAAAAACCTACTACAACAGTATGGCGTCAATGTAGAAGTTGCCAACACATGATAAAGCTATCGAAAAAACTCACCACTGTTACTTGCAGGTATTTCTTTTTATCTCTAATCACATTCTATAGTTATTATGGTTTTCGAATCCTCTTTGGAATTTGATTTTGTTTTCGGCTACCGTAATGTTTATGGTTGATGTGTAGGTGTGGCTATAAGTTTTGCTATGCATGTGGAGCTCAATGGAAGCATGGAGGTTGCTCTCATCATCACCAAGCGGTGATGGATTTGATGGACGCTGCTATAGCCTTCATTGTCTTCATTTTTCTTTTTTGCCTAGGTTTATTAATTATTAAGCGCTAGAGGTTATGGTTGTGGTTTCTTTAATTCTCCGCGTGACTATTTAGATGGATTGGTATGGTATTAATTAGTCTATGTGTTTGGATTAACACATAGATTAATAGTTGTTGTTTCGAAACATTTTTCATCTCTTTTGGATTTGTTTAATTTTAATAGTTTTAAGATTTTTTTAATCGTATGCTACGTTTTCGGTGATATTTGATATTCCGATGATCAATTATTTAACTATCTTACGCATATTTTGAAAGCCTTAAAAAACAACTAAGTCAAAAATCTAAAAGAGCATTACAGAACGGAAAAAGGATTAGTAATTAATTAATTATCTTAGCAACGTAATTTCAAAAGTAACATAATTACGAGAATCTATCGAGAATCGGGTGGGCGTACTTAAATGAATCACTTTCCTTAAAACTAACAACATTTTCATACATTAAAAGAAACAGATATTTGTCAAGATGAAAAGACAAAACTGGAGACGTTAAACGCCCTTAGTGTGACATAATGGGAGAAATTTCACGTTAGGAGCTCAACATGTAGAACAACAATGTACAGACTTCCAAGTTCCAATTCGAAAGAGAAATCAAAAAAAGAAATTAAAATTCAGAACGATAGTATAACTTAAAGAGAAATGGCTCATACTTTCCAATTGATTGCGTGGACAAGCCCGAGGAGTTCTTGTATATGCCGTTTTCACATGAGCAGTTCAAAATTCAGACAGATGAATGACATTGGTAAAGATGGCAGATCAAACCAGTTGGGCATAGTGTCGACGCTGCGACGGCTTTAAGCGACTAGAATTTCAACATCAACGGAGAATAAAAAAAGTGTCGCTGCGATCGCTTCCACGGGAGTTGTCGCGACTGCTTTAATGGTGTTGCTGGTGTTACTCTCCACATGCTTGTGTCTCAAGTTAGTTATATTTTTGGGTCGTGATTGCGCAACCATGAAAAGAACAGGCACCGTCTCTCTTTGAGATATTCTCAGAATCCTTTTGTGTCTCTTCCTCATTGGTTCTAATTTTTTTAATCAAAAATATTTTACTTTTTTTTTGGCTAAATGACAACAAACTTACTATTATATTGTTTAGATACTCAATAAATATCTTAACCAATGGAAGCCCACACTTAGATGAGTTTCTCAGCTTAATCTAAACTAAACATAATATTATTTTATTAGTTAGATACTTAATGGGTATATAAACTAATGGAGGTGTTGTTAGGTTATCTTTTTCTTAAAAGCTAATTTCCTTTTGCTTTTAGTTGGAGCCGCCTCTGCTCTACGAGGCATAAAACCTAATACCTTATAAAGACTAAAGGGAAGCAAAAAAAAATCTGAAAGTATGCACAGAAACTACATGAAGGAAGAAGGCGTTCGAGTACAAGAAGATGCCCAAAAACCCGCCGGAGAACCCTCACTTTACGGTTCAAGTTCTGACTCGCACAACCTTTACTTCAAGGGTTTAATAAGCTTTCAGACAACAACCGGTTTATTGGCTGGATTTGGGGTTGCAATTTGCAGAGAAGAGGATGATAGTTTCTTGTTTAAGAACAAGGGTTCACTTAATTACTCCGGGATTACAGATTTGGAGGCTGAGCTTATGGCATTGAAGCTAGGACTAGCCAAAGCCGTGAGTATGAGGATCAATCATATCTCAATTTACTTTGATGATCCTGAGATTTTTGAATTGGTAAGTTTTCTTGGCTGATAAGTTTCACATGTGTTTGCTTCAATGTCTTATTTGATTGATGCCTTGCCTTGAATAATTAGGTCATGGGGAGATCTGTGCCTAAGCATGAGAAAATCGCCATGCTAATAGATGATGTGCAACGCATCAGACAACAATTTTCATCTAGCATCCCTATTCTTGTGGCTAGAAATCAAACTGAGTTTGTCTATAAACTTGCCAAGGAAACAATAGTTTCTAACAACAGCATACCTATGCCTCGTGGTTCTCAGAAGAAGACTTGTGGTAACTGCTTTCACGATGATGTGGATGGTGAGAAGATGTTTTCCGTTGCTTTATGCAGTCATCAATTCTGTGTAGAGTGCATGAAACAAGATATAGAAGTTAGTTTAAACGAGGGAGGTGTACCGAGATGTCCTCATTATGGCTGCACATCAATCTTAACTCTTAAAAGCTGTGCCCATCTTTTGACACCTAAACTAAAGGAGATGTGGGAACATAGGATCAAAGAGGAGTCAATTCCTGTATGTGACAGATTTCATTGCCCAAATCCAAGGTGCTGGGCATTGATGTCGAAAACCGAGCTCGTTGAATCTACTGAAGATGGAGTTAGGAGACACTGCTTTAAATGCCGTAAACACTTTTGCATTACCTGCAAAGTTCTGTGGCATAGTAACTTGTCTTGCAAGGAATACAAGAGTTCGGTTCAAAAGCCTACTACAACAGTGTGGCGTCAATGTAGAAGTTGCCAACATATGATAAAACTATCGGGAAAATGCATCAATGTAACTTGCAGGTATTATCTCTAATCACATTCTATTGTGATTTTGAAATCCTCTTTGTAATTCGATTATGTATTCGGCTACTGTAATGTTCATGGAATCATGGTTGATGTGCAGGTGTGGCTATAGGTTTTGCTATGCATGTGGAGCCCAATGGAAGTTTGGAGGTTGCTCTCATCATCGCCAAGCGGTGATGGAACTGGTGGTTGGTTTAGTCCTCATTTTTCTTGTTTTCATAGGTCTTTCAATTATTAAGCCCATGGTTAAGTAGATGATAATGATCAAGTACTATTTACATGGATTGGTATGGGATTTTAGTCTATGTGTGTGGATCAACACATAGATTAATAGTTGTTGTTTTGAAACTCTTTCCATCGCTTTTTTATTTGTTTAATTTTAGACTTTAATTTTAAGATTTTTTAAAATCGTATGCTACGTTTTCATTGATATTTGATCTTCCCATGATCAATTATTTAAACTATTCCTAATAAAATACCCATGTTTTGAAAGCCTTAATTAGCTTGTAAATCGCTGCAAAAAAAAAATTGTAGCTTGTAACTCGTATATATAGTACTTAGATAATTAGTATTTTATAAAACATCTCAACAGTATGATCGGTTTGGAAGCAAAATTCTTTGTGTTGATACTTGATACTTATATAGCTCTTGATTGGGACCTATAATCCATTACATTGAAGAAGAGTTTACAAAGTCATTAATTTATATGATTCTCGAAGTATCAAACCCTAAAGCAACCAAATCAAAGCCCTAAACTTGCAGAAAAAGAAAGTGCAAACTCTCGGATATATTATTGGTTCAGTGACTTCGGCGTTCCTTGCATCTGAGCTTCCAATTACCCTCGACCCCTTTAACACTAACATAAGTCCATGGGGGAAGTGGGAGATCCTCATCGAAGGTTGGAATCATAGGCCTCCATCGTTGGAAACAAGAAACTCTGACATGCGTTGTCCGCTCTCTCAATCGGACTTGTAATTTTGTTGCTTCTAACTTAATCCATATCAAAACCCCACAAAACCGATATTACTATTTTATGAAGCAAATAGAATGTATATAATAGAACCAAAACAAAAACTAAGTAAAGCATAAGATGGTAAGCCACTCTGGTGGAGGTGCAAACGGCTGATATATTTGGGTTATGGCGTTGGAGGATAGATATGGAGACCACCATGATAGCAACCTCCAGCCTTGGCTCCACATTGGTAGCAAAACTTATGTCCACATCTACAATGAAAGAAATGCTGAATCAGTTTAAAACATAATTATAAGAAGAAAAAAAAAACAGATAAAAACATAAAAAGAAATTCGAAAGGAAAATGTTATTAATAGAGATGATACCTGCAAGTTACTTTGATACATCCTTTTGAACGTTCGATCATGTTTTTGCACTTTCCACATTGACGCCACATATTCCGATTTGCTAAAGCTTTGAACTTTATATCATCATTAGTAGGATTTGGACCCAATCTCTTATAATCGTCGCACGACAAGTCACTATGCCACGGAGCTTTACAGTTGATGCAAAAGGGTTCGCCGCATTCCAAGCAGTGTCTCCTAACTCTAGCTTCTTTATTATATTTGAAGAAGTATCTCCTAACTCCTGCTTCTTTAACAGATTTAGAGAGCTTGTTTACAGACATTAAAGCCGAGCACCTCGGGTTTGGGCAGTAAATTCTCTCTGTTACAGGAATTAAGTCCTCTTTGATCCTTTGTTGCCACATCTCTCTTACTTTAGGTGTCAAAAGATTGACACAGCTTCCAAAAGTCAGCTTAGACTTGCAGCGGTAATGCGGACATCTAATCACACTTCCCTCGAGTAGCCTCACCTCTACATGTCGTTTCATACACTCAAAACAGAATTGATGACGACATTTATCAACACAAAACATCTTATTAGCGTCAACATCATCATCTAAACAAATACTGCAAGTTGTCTTGTGAGTAGGCATGGCTTGGTGAGGAGGCTTCACATGCATGCGGATTTCAGAAGCAATTGCTTCCTTTGCTCGTATATAAGCATATCTGATACTATTTCCAGCCACAAAAACCCGAAAGCTCGCAAATTGTTGACTTATACGTTGCATATTAAAGATCAGAATCAGCGAGAAAAAGTGGTAGTGAAATCAAGGAAAGTTTTGAGAATAAAGTTCTCTTATAAACGCGAAATAAAAACAGAGCATATATGCTAGTCTATTTAAACAGAGATCGAACAACTAAAGCAAAAGCCAAAAGGAAATTAAAGAATAAAAAGGAAACTAATAATTGTAACAAGGAAAAACCCTAAGCAAAAAGGATTAGTGATTCTCTCTCTATTTAAAAAATTATTATTTCCTTTTTTTTATAACGAAAACAAAAAAAATTATTTTGTACCATCATCTCTGAAAATAAGAAAATCAATCGACACTTACCAAAAACGGTTGCAAATATAAAATTTTATGTAAAAGATTAGTAATTATCTCCATTTTTAAAATATATTTTTAATAATATATCTTATTAACCACGCTACTGTCTCTCTGTCTCCCCTTATTCCTATCATTCAGATCTTTTCCAATCAAACTTGTGACTAACACAGTCATGTGATGTCTAGTGATTTTGGTTGTTTTAAAGCCTCTTTTCTCTTAGTTTTCATTGCTTTGCATTCATATTTTGGCATATAGTGTTGCATTTGCATTTGCATATGGTTTTCTTAGGTACATGAATGGAGCTTGGAGTTTTGGGAATAAATAGAGCAAAAAGGAAGCTAAAAGAAGGCAACTTGAGTAATGAAGATCAAAGAGGGATCAAGAGGTGAAAGGAGATGTCAAGATGTGGTGAAAAAAGATGATTGAAGAAGAGAAGAGGAAGCAATAGACCACCTGGTCGATTCCCTGGTCGATTGACATGGATCAGAGCTACGGACAAGACACCAATCGATCAAGCAATCGACAGATTGCCTCAGGACAAACCAATCGACCAACTAGTCGATTCCCTGGTCGATTGACATAGACCAGAGCTACGGACAACATTTCAATCGATCACTTGATCGATCGATTGCTCTACCCAATAGACCAAGTGGTCGATTGAGTGGTCGATTGGGTGCCTAAACCGGGTCAAAACCCGGTTTGTTCCGGGTTGACCCGGTTCGTTTTTCCCTTTTCTATATATATACTTTTAACCTAGTTTTAGATTGTCTTATGCTTTGTTTAGAGATCAAAAACTTCTCTTAAGGTTTCTTTCTAAGTTTTTGTATGAATCTTTGGTTCTTAAGCTTAAATATCAAGTACTTCTTTTAAATTCTCTTATCTACCTTCTCTAATTATGATTTCACAAAGATCAAACCTATTGCTTTGTGTAATCATGATCATGAGTGAGTAGTCATTTAGAGTTCTTGGGTTAAGGTAGATTAGGATGGTTTAGTTGTTGGGTTATGGAGTTTAGGGCTAGATTACTTAAGATCCTTACTTATTGGTTGTTTATAATGCTAGATTAGCCTTGATCATGTTGATTTAGACTTTAGGGATTTCATGCCCGGAAGGTGTTCGATGAAATTCCCGAACCAAAACCTTTAAGTGCTTTACATTCCTTACCTTTGGAAATTGTTGACTAGGGTGTTAAGTGGCTAGATAGACTTGTTTATAATGCTTGTTAGTCAATTGATTGCCTTTGGAAGAAGTTGATGATTAATTGATTAGTAAATGGACTAATGTCATGGAAATGTGTTAGTGTTGCTTAGTGTTCTATGGCCTAGGGATCATTGCTTATTAGAGGTTGTTTGAAGCTCCATAATCCACTTCTTAATCATTCCTAATCAATTCCCTTTAACCCGAGAATTCACCTTTAGTTATCGTTTAGTAACTCGTTAATTTTCCGCTTTGTTTACTTTCGAAACTTGTTAGTCTTTTGCATTTTGCTTTCATTTGTTTTGTTTTGCATTGTTTGATTGTTATTTACTTTGTTAGTCATGTTTACAAAACCAAATCATTTTATTAGCCTAGATTAAGCTTTTGCGTGTATTCCTAGTGAGTTGATCAATTGCAAATTGTGGTTCGATATTTAATTGAGTAAAAATACTACATCAATTTGGCGCCGTTGCCGGTTTGCAATCGAAATTAGCCATTAGGATTTCGTTGTGTTGCTTGAGACTAGGCAATTTCTTTATATTGTTTCTTAACCTTCTTGTCTTGGTGTTTTGATCTTTCTCTTGCTAAGGTGTATGCATTTGAGGAGTCACGGTCACGAACATTTGGTTGAGCGGGTTGACAACATAGGACGGTTTGAGAGAGAGAATTCACGGGCAAGACGAGAAAGGGAACGCATTGAACATCTAGAACAGTTAAGAATGGATCAACAACCTCCACCGGTGGTTGATGGAGATCACGGTCATAATGGAAATGACCAACACAATGGTGCGCAAGTTCCTAACCATGCACCACGAGCTCTTCATCCAATCGGAGCATTTGATGCACCGAACATACATGGAAATAGGAACGGTATTCGAGCTCCTCCGGTTGAGAACAACAACTTTGAGATTAAGTCAAGCCTCATCAACATGGTTCAAGGCTCTAAGTTTCATGGGTTATCAATGGAGGACCCTTTAGATCATCTCGACCAATTTGATATGTTGTGTAGCACGGTGAAGATAAATGGCATCTCGGAAGATGCATTCAAACTTAGACTCTTCCCGTTTTCTCTTGGAGATCGAGCTCGTATTTGGGAGAAGAATTTACCTCAAGGCTCTATTACCTCTTGGGACCAATGCAAAAGAGCCTTCCTCAAAAAGTTTTTCTCCACAACAAGAACGGCAAGGTTGAGAAATGAGATATCTAGCTTCACACAAAAGAACAATGAAAGTTTTTGTGAAGCTTGGGAAAGGTTCAAGGGATACAAAATACAATGTCCTCATCATGGTTTCTCTAATGAGTCTCTACTAAGCACCTTGTATAGAGGAGTTCTCCCTAAATTGATTTTGGTTGTTTTAAAGCCTCTTTTCTCTTAGTTTTCATTGCTTTGCATTCATATTTTGGCATATAGTGTTGCATTTGCATTTGCATATGGTTTTCTTAGGTACATGAATGGAGCTTGGAGTTTTGGGAATAAATAGAGCAAAAAGGAAGCTAAAAGAAGGCAACTTGAGTAATGAAGATCAAAGAGGGATCAAGAGGTGAAAGGAGATGTCAAGATGTGGTGAAAAAAGATGATTGAAGAAGAGAAGAGGAAGCAATAGACCACCTGGTCGATTCCCTGGTCGATTGACATGGATCAGAGCTACGGACAAGACACCAATCGATCAAGCAATCGACAGATTGCCTCAGGACAAACCAATCGACCAACTAGTCGATTCCCTGGTCGATTGACATAGACCAGAGCTACGGACAACATTTCAATCGATCACTTGATCGATCGATTGCTCTACCCAATAGACCAAGTGGTCGATTGAGTGGTCGATTGGGTGCCTAAACCGGGTCAAAACCCGGTTTGTTCCGGGTTGACCCGGTTCGTTTTTCCCTTTTCTATATATACTTTTAACCTAGTTTTAGATTGTCTTATGCTTTGTTTAGAGATCAAAAACTTCTCTTAAGGTTTCTTTCTAAGTTTTTGTATGAATCTTTGGTTCTTAAGCTTAAATATCAAGTACTTCTTTTAAATTCTCTTATCTACCTTCTCTAATTATGATTTCACAAAGATCAAACCTATTGCTTTGTGTAATCATGATCATGAGTGAGTAGTCATTTAGAGTTCTTGGGTTAAGGTAGATTAGGATGGTTTAGTTGTTGGGTTATGGAGTTTAGGGCTAGATTACTTAAGATCCTTACTTATTGGTTGTTTATAATGCTAGATTAGCCTTGATCATGTTGATTTAGACTTTAGGGATTTCATGCCCGGAAGGTGTTCGATGAAATTCCCGAACCAAAACCTTTAAGTGCTTTACATTCCTTACCTTTGGAAATTGTTGACTAGGGTGTTAAGTGGCTAGATAGACTTGTTTATAATGCTTGTTAGTCAATTGATTGCCTTTGGAAGAAGTTGATGATTAATTGATTAGTAAATGGACTAATGTCATGGAAATGTGTTAGTGTTGCTTAGTGTTCTATGGCCTAGGGATCATTGCTTATTAGAGGTTGTTTGAAGCTCCATAATCCACTTCTTAATCATTCCTAATCAATTCCCTTTAACCCGAGAATTCACCTTTAGTTATCGTTTAGTAACTCGTTAATTTTCCGCTTTGTTTACTTTCGAAACTTGTTAGTCTTTTGCATTTTGCTTTCATTTGTTTTGTTTTGCATTGTTTGATTGTTATTTACTTTGTTAGTCATGTTTACAAAACCAAATCATTTTATTAGCCTAGATTAAGCTTTTGCGTGTATTCCTAGTGAGTTGATCAATTGCAAATTGTGGTTCGATATTTAATTGAGTAAAAATACTACATCATCATGGAAAGAGACGAAGTAGGTTTTATTTCGAAGAAACGAAGGGTGACCCAATCTATGGCAACAAGATATGTCGACAATGTCTACAGATTGTACTTCAAGGGTTTGGTGAGTAACGATATCGAGGACCGGAAAAAGACGGCCATGGCTGGATTCGGAGTCGCGATTTGCGATCAGATGGATAAGTTGTTATTTGAGATAAAGGAACTAGTGAGCGACGCCAAGATTAACAGCAAAGGAGTTGACATTAGGGCTTTGATTGGTGGGTTAAGTGAATCACTCAATTTAGGGATCAGAAAGGTTGTGATTTATTGTGATGACTATCAGATTTACCAAAATGTAAGTGTTTTCTCTACTTTGTTATTGCTTAGGTTTATATGCACCTTTTAAATGATTTATGAGACGAGAAGAAATTTGATGGTTAATGTAGTACGGTTTCAGTCTTCTCTACTTCTCTATATATGTTTAGCCATTAGATTGTTATGAACTAATCGATGGATTATTGTGATAAATAACTCTTATAATCATTACCATATATAGTTGGTATTTGCATAATAATATATATGCATTCTCAAAAGAATTAAAATAATGTGGAACCTTAAAGAGAAGCTATATCATATCTAGTTACGGGAAAGAGACTCCACTATGGAGGACAAAAATTATGTGATGATGACAATGATTTTGATGTTCTTATGTATCTGATTTTTCAATGCAGATAATGACCGGTAAAAGTAACCATAAGCAGGAAAGAGTTATTCAACAACTTATGAAACAAATCCAATGCCTTAGACAAAAATTTGATCTATGTGCAGCTATTCTGGTTCCTCAAAACGATATTAAGTTTGCTTTTAAACTTGCCAGAGAGGCAATTGTTTCTCAAATCAGCGGCATCTCCAAGGAGAAAGGAGAAGTTTGTGTCATTTGTCGAGAAGAAACCGAGGCCGATTGCATGTTTGTTTTCGATAAATGCCTTCACCGTCATTGCTATTCTTGTGTAAATCAATTTGTGGAAGTGAAACTGCGTAACGGAGATGTACCCACATGCCTTGATTATGAATGCAAGTTAGAGCTAACTCTTGAAAATTGTAGCAAGGTTTTGAAACCTAAGGTGATTGAGCTGTGGAAACACAAGATGAACGAGGATTCCATTCCCGTTTCCGAGAGAATATATTGCCCATATCCAAACTGCTCGATGTTGATGTCCAAAACCGAGATTTCTCGATCTGATCAAACCTTTGATGGTACATGTGTCAAATGTTTTGGACTCTTTTGCATTGAATGTAAAGTACCATCGCATTCTGATTTTTCGTGTGCTGAGTACAAGAAACTTCGCTCTGACCTTCTAGTTGATGACTTGAAGCTAAAGTCTCTAGCAAATGACCAAAAATGGCGCCAGTGTGTCAAATGTGGGCACATGATTGAGCTTATTGAAGGCTGCAACCACATGACTTGCAGGTACATATATACATATTTAACTCGATTAAGCCATATTTCAAGACGAAATGTTCATGCTTTATAATATCAATGTGTCTTTTGTAGATGTGGGTATGAGTTTTGCTACGAATGTGGAGTTGAATGGGAGAAGTGTCAAGTGACTTGTCCTACGGGTTATCCACGTATTGGCCAAGGTAATTTTGATGATTTTTTTTTGGCTAAGAATGTAAATATTTCATTGAAAATGAAAACGATTTAGGTTTACAATCACTAGATTATAGACCTAAAGTGATGGTCCCATGGCAAAAAAAGCTAAAAACATGGAAGCATAATTTAAAACACAAGAACTCAGTCCATCCGCTCAACATTAACGCTAGGCTAATGGAGTTAGACGAAGTGAAAACGATTTTGGACGCTCTTCCCGGCAGCGATGCTGAAGACGAAGGACGAAAACACTTCGTAAAAGCTGAATAATGCGAGGCCAAGAAACTAGAAGCCTTTCAATGGAGGCTCGAAACTAAGCCGTCAACGGCAAGCAAATCCATGAGCTATCTCAGAACGAAACCTCACAAACTAAGTCATGCAAACGGTGCGAGCTCACCCTACCAAGTTCTTTCCCCGAAGTCGGCTAGTACAGAGCTAAATAAAAGCAAAAAAACACCACACCGAACGCCCTTAGCCTTACTAGCTCCTCTAAATCTCAGCACAAACGCAAATCACAACAAACACTCAATGAGTCGCTAACTACATCTCACAACAACAATGACAATAAGACACAACCAAAACCAGGGCAGAGAAGGAAACATCAAGACAAGGAACCCAAAGATGCTAACGTAATGGAGATGAAAAGGAAGCCACCACCGGTGGCCAAAACATAACCAAAGCAACATCAAAGGGGCTGACGAGAAGCTTGAAAGGAGGAGCCAAGACGCGCCACAACGATAACTCTCCTAAAAGATCTGCTGCTGTCCTATAATTTTGATGATGGTGATGGACGTAATGATGAAGATGATTGGCATGAATTTCTAGCTGATGGTGGTTTATCTGATTCTCCCCCTATCCCCAGTTATGCTGATTATTATAGTCTCTATAGTCTCAATAGTCTCTAGTCTGTGTGTTTGCATTAATACAAAGATTTCATAGTTATAATGAAATACTCTTCTTCTCATTCTTTTCTTTGTTAAGTTTAAGAACAAGATGTAACCTCTGCAAGGTTTTCGGATTTTCTTTAATGTTATAAGGAATATTTTCATATATACAATTAGACAAGTTTTTGATTAGAGTGTCTTTTATCTTCTCGCTTTCTTTATATGTGGCAGATAGATTGATGTATGAAGAGTTAGCTTTAATGTATATACATTAACCCAAACCGGACCAAATCATATATATTTGTTTTGTTAAAATTCGGTTCTCTTTTTTCTAAAACAAAATTACCTTAAGCGGTGTTGGTCAACCTGTTAGAAAAAAAATTACCGAATGAGAAAAGAAGTATGTTCAAGTTAATCTCGAGACCTCATAATAATAATGTACTAGATAACAACCCGCACTATGTGCGGGATGAAATGATTCAAGTAAAATTATTATGATTAAAATTATTATCCGGGATCCAAGATCCGTTTGTGTAAAACGTAACATGTAATAATTTTTTTTTGTTTTATTCAAACTTGGGACTATTTATATAAGAATACGTTTTATCCGTGGAATATTTGAACCTTGAATAAAGCTTCAACGTGATAAAGAAATTATTGACGAAATGTTACCATTTATGGCAATATGTCTTTCCGTATGTTTTAAAGATTTCGAGATTTTGTAGTATAAAAATAATTTTTTTATTATTATTTAAGTATAAGAAATCCAAAAATTTAGCAAAGATGATATTTGATAATTTCCGAGTTAAGATTTTGTAGTGTTCCAAATATAAGATTCTTATATTATGAATGGATTATTTACGAAATGGTTATAATGTGACCGTTTGACAAAAAAAAGAGGTTATAATGTGGCCAGATTTTGGTTTATATATAAATGTGGTTATAATGTTTTTCTTCGAAAAGTTAGAACCACTCCAAAAAAATCGGATTTTAAGTATCCGTAACATGTATAGAAAAGAGATTATCTTATTTATTTAAGTACAATAGATATAAAATTTTATGAAAGATTTAGAGATTTTGTAGTTTTGAATTCGAGATTCTTGAACAAAATGTATATCTTTTATCATTTAAATATAAGCATAAATATATATATATATATATATATATATATATATAAATAAAAAGATTTTTTACCCATCGGCTAGAGAAGATTTATATAAATGTATATAAAGAAAAATATAAATATAAAAATTTATTAATATAAGATAAACACAATTTTTTTCCTTTTTAATTATTGAAAATAAATTATTAATATAAATAAACAAAGATCCCGTGATTTGTTGTTAAATATAAATATGATATCAGTTGCCTAATTATTTGCTTTTTAATTATAATTTCGTTTTTTTGTTATTTGTATGATATATGTATGTATTAAGACTAATGGCAAAATCTGTAAATAGTCTAGTAAAATTTGGGTAATAATTTAAATGGGTGAAAATTCACTCTGAGAGCGACATGTCAGCATGGCAGTTTAGTTAATAACACGTCAAGATAAGGTTTATTTTATAAAGTGCTTCTCTATTAATATATAAGGGATATAAAACTTTACAATTCTTACTTCTACAGTAATTACTTGCCCGTCAAGTTTCCTAATTATTAATTTCCTTTTTTTATACAAAGTTTTAATTTCTGTTTGCTTAGGGGTAGGGCTCTTTCTTTCTTAATTACCCCTAATCTATTCTATGTTATATACAGTATTGAGGAGCCGCCTCTGATCTAATCTCTACGAGTCATAAATCCTTAGGACCCCTAAGAAAAAAATATCTTTTAAGTATGTGCAACAGATACATGGAGAAAGAAGGAAACGATGGCCCAAACCCCACTGGAAAACCCTCACCGGGTGACTTCCATTCTGACACATACAATCTTCACTTTAAGGGTTTGGTAAGGCAGGAAACATCTGCTCAGTTATCGGCGGGATTTAGGGTTGCAATTTGCAGAGAAGAGGATGATTCTCTCTTGTTTCAGATGAAAGGATCACTTCATGACTCCGTGATTACAGTTTTGGAGGCTGAGCTTATGGCACTGAAGCGAGGACTAACTGAAGCCGTGAGTTTGGGGATCAGTCATATCTCAATCTGCTGTGATAGTTTTCAGATTTTTGAATTGGTGAGTTTTCTTGGCTGTTAAGTTTCACATATCTTTTTTGGTTCAATCTCGTAATTGATGTTTTGCCTTGAATGTTTTAGGTCATGGGGAGATCCGCGCCTGAGCAAGAGAACATCGCCTTGCTAATGGATGATGTGCAACGCATAAGACGTGAATTGACATCTAGCATTCCTGTTCTTGTGACTGAAAATCAAGCCAAGTTTGCGTATAAGCTTGCTAAGGAATCAATAAGCATACGTACGCCTCCTACCGAGAAGAAGACTTCCGGTGGGGTTAATATCGTCATCAATTCAGTGTGGAGTGGATGAAACAACATATAGAAGTGAGGCTAATCGAGGGAGATGTACCGAGATGTCCTCACTATGGCTGCAAATCAATCCTAACTCTTAAAAGTTGTGCCCATCTTTTGACACCTAAACTAAAAGAGATGTGGGAACATAGGATCAAAGAGGAGTCAATTCCTGTATGTGACAGATTTCATTGCCCAAATTCATGGTGCTGGGCTTTGATGTCGAAAACCGAGCTCTTTGAATCTACTGAAGATGGAGTTAGGAGATGCTGCTTTAAATGCCGTAAACCCTTTTGCATTAACTGCAAAGTTCTGTGGCATAGTAACTTGTCATGCAAGGAATACAAGAAGTTGGGTCAAAATCCTAAAACAATATCGCTTCAATGTAAGAAGTGCCAACACATGATCAAACTATCGCATAAACCCACCACTGTAACTTGCAGGTAGCATCATTTATCACATTCTCTAGATATTATGATTAAAAACCATTTTGGAATTTGATTATGTTTTCGGCTAATTGACATTGTAATGTTCAAGGTTGATGTATAGGTGTGGTTATACGTTTTGCTTCAAATGTGGAGCTCAATGGAAGCTTGGAGGTTGCCGTCATATAATGGTGGCGGATGCGTTGATTCTCATTATGATCTTCATTCTTTTAATAATTATTTGCTAAATTATTCGTCGTGTTTAATTCAAACAGACATTAATTGGTGTTTTGAGATACACTTTTCCATCTCATCTTAGCAATTTTCTTTGTTAAATTTGAAATTTTTAAGAAGTAAGCTTTGAGCTTTTGGATTTTCTTTATATAGTAGTTTACTTTCAGTACTATTATTGCTTGAAATCTATAGAGATTAGAGACCTGTTTGGAGTTCTTAGAGAGTCTCCGTGAATCACTTATGCTGGCCTGGGCATAATATCCGAACTCGAAGAACCGAACCAAACCCGACCCGAAAAACCCGATCCGAACCCGAACCCGAAGTTTTAAAATACCCGAACGGGTTCTAAACTTCACAACCCGAAACTCGACCCCGAACCCGAACCCGAAAAAGTACCCGGACATACCCAGAATTTTAAGTACATAGTTATAATATATTAGTAATATTTAATATTTATACTTGTAATAACCTAAGTACCTAAATTATTCGGATGTTAAGATATTTTCGGGTGTTTTAGCTACTTTGGGCTAGATTCGGGTATAAAATACGTGGGTTTTATAGATTTTTTTGAGTATTTTTAAATACTTTGCATAGAATCGGATACAAAATTTCTAATATTTGAATACTTCGGGTAAACCCGAAATACCCGATCCAAACCCGACCCAAACCCGAAGTTTTAGAATACCCGAACGGGTCTTAGTTTTCTAAACCTGAACCCGAAAAACCCGACTTGAACCCGACCCGAATATCTGAAGGCCGAGGCCTATAAGCTGCATCAAAAAAGCACATTACAACGTTAGTGGATTTTAATCTTTATTTTGCAGTTATTTTGTATTATTTTTCTAAGTCATATGCGAAAAAATAATATTACCTTAAATATATAAAAAAAAGTTTATATTTTCTTCAATGCTAATATTTCTTGTGAATAAATTTATCAAGTTCTTATAATTTGTAGTATTACTTTTCTCTGCACATTATATTCTAGGAATAGTTGCATAGTAGACACAATTTAAACAAGTAAGGAAACATATATAGTTCTCGGTTCTCATATCACACATTTATAAACCAATGATAATTTCAAAATCTCTATGAAATCAGAGTCTAATTCTCTTACCAACGAAGTATTATCATCAAAACAGTTTTGTGTCAGAAGCAAGAAGTGGAAACGAAGGAACTACAAATTATTCAACAACTCGACTAGAAATTAATTCTTTCACAAGTGGTGTTGACATGTATGTTCTTACACCTGATTTTTTAGATAAAACTACATTGATGTTTGATTCAGTTATTACTCACAACAAATCATTCACCAATACACTCATCCTTTTTTTTTTTTATAACTAAAACCATAAAAATTTGGTGAATGATTTGTTGTGAGTGAACCAGCTTTTATTTAGGTCTAACCAAAAGTATAGATGAAATCTTCTGTTACTCCGTTCCGTGTTCGTGTGGTCTCGAGCTCAGGCGAAGCGATGAGAGATCAGAAATACTTGGAGACAAAGGATAGAGTTGGACTATAGAAACTCGACACATGAGCCAAACAATGGAGAGCGATGCCCTTTGGTAAAAAAAGAAAACGACGTCTGAGGAGACTATGATCGTATATTCATCTCTTTTATCGTCTATGTATTCTTATGATCTTGGTCTGGGAGCTAGGTTTTAAATTTAGGGTTTCCTTGATCGGATAGAAATGAAATTTGACACTCATAACTCATTGAACTCTAACCAAATCTTGTTATTTTTTGTAGGAAATTCTCTATGGTTACCGAGCAATCAGTATCCATAAACAAAGAGATAAAAATACAACGAATAAAATGAGACTCAATTCAGTAACACTTACTCAGCTTCATTATCGGCTTCCTTAACAGTAGTAGGTCCTCCTTCCTCAGCTTCATTATCGGCTTTGCTCACTTCTTTGCCTTTAGCTAAAGCAGTAGTGATCTGTATAGCTTCTTCTATAGTTGGTTCAGGTACCTTCACAGGCTGGAACCGTCTCTCCAGTGAAGGATCTTTCTCAATGTGCTTCCTGTACACATCCAATGTTGTTGCACCAATACACTACAACCGTAAAAAAAAACAAATCGTAAAAATTGAGTTTCCGGTTCTATTAACTGACGTTTGACATCATTAGACTGATAAAAAGAATTGAGAAAATTTACCTGCAATTCACCTCTTGCTAGAGCTGTCTTTAAGATGTTAGCAGCATCGATCGCACCTTCAGCGGCTCCTGTACCAATGAGCGTGTGCATTTCATCAATAAACAGAATTATGTCTTCACTTTGCCTGATTTCCTCCATAAGCTTCTTCAGTCTTTCCTCGGATTCTCCACGGTATTTTGTTCCAGCCACTAGAAGACCCTTATCAAGGGTTATAACCTGACAAAAAAATACAAGTAAATTATTTTTTGAATTGCGCATTCATTGATCACATCAATTCCCCGTCACATTCTCTCAAACGCTAAGGAAAGAAAGAATTGGACGAATAAAAGGTAGAAGTAAATTACTTAAAACATACTACATATTTGTGCACTCTAACTAAGCCTCTTAAGTTCATTACAAATGATCCAATGGGAGATTATTTACCGTCTTCCCCTTGATTGTTTCAGGAACATCACCACTAGCGATTCGCTGTGCAAGTCCCTCCGCTATTGCTCTCTTTCCAACTCCAGGTTCTCCAATAAGACACGGGTTGTTCCTAGTTCTCCGAGCCAAGATCTGGACCGCTCGTTCGATCTGTGGCTGCCTTCCAACAACTGGATCAAGTTTACCCTACCATAGAAAGTGAAAAAAAACAAATTCAGCAGAAACCTTCAAGCATTAACATGACATTCTCTTCAAAATGAGTACACATTTTTATTACCTCCTCTGCTAGTTTAGTTAAGTTAGTCCCATACTCTTCTAGTGTTGCCATTTTGCTGTTTCCACTGCTTCCTCCACCAACGCTTGTTGTGACTTCATTCTTTTCCTCGACCATACTTATAACCTGAAAATGATATATGTATCTCAAAATGTAATCAAGAAATGGTTTACTAAGAACAAGAATTGGTCCATTTACCTGTGTCCGGATATTACTAGGATCTACACCCAATTTCTCCAAGACACGAACTGCAATACCCTCCCCTTCACGAAGTAGACCAAGCAAAAGGTGCTCTGAACCAATGTAGTTATGCCCTAGATTTTAAAAATAGCAACAAGAGTCAAGTAAGCTTATGTCTTGCACAACACATAACAAGCTCCAAGCCTAAATATTAATAAATAGCAAAAGATCCTTACCAAGTTGTCGAGCTTCCTCAAGTGACAACTCAAGCACACGCTTTGAGCGAGGAGTAAAAGGAATCTCCAGTGCACAAAATCCACTACCTCTCCCAATTAACTTTTCCACTTCCACACGTGAATCTTTAAGATTGATCCCCATGGATTTAAGAACCTTTGCAGCGATCCCAGTCCCTTCCCCAATTAGACCTAGCAGTATCTGCTCAGTCCCAACAAAGTTATGGCCAAGTCTCCAAGCTTCCTCTTGAGACAGCATAATGACCTTAATTGCTCTCTCGGTAAAACGCTCAAACATCGATTTGGGTATGCATCGGCTAGCTTTTGCTTTTCGGGTTGAGATTAAAAGGAAATCTTGACCAGGCCTTGCCATAAGATCTCTGGAAGCCCTTAACCCTGAGAAGCTCTTAATTCTCGAAACAGGTTTCATATTCGACGAGCTAGGTTAAAAATTTAGACGTAAATCAGAGTATATTTGAAAGTGGCTTCATAAAACAATCAATCAAGTACCTTCCTAATGAAAAACTTGCCCGACAAGTTTTCCTTTATTTTAATTTTCTATTTTCTTAGGTTTTTTCCTTTTGAGTCTTAAAATTTAATATCCTTTTGGTTTAGGTATTAATTCGATCCCGATCCCTATCCCTATATAAAAAGACTTTTGTTACTTTCCAATGACTCTGTCATATTCACGAGGAGCCGCCTCTGCTCTAGTCATAAACCCTTAACGAAGAAAAAAATCTGAAAGTATGGACGAGAGATACATGAAGAAAGAAGGAACTCTAGTACGAGAAGATGGCCCAAAACCCGCCGGAAAACCCTCACTGGGAGACTTATATTCTGAATCCTGCAACCTTTACTTCAAGGGTTTCCTAAGGGAGGAAACAACAGGGTTATTGGCGGGATTTGGGATTGCAATTTGCAGAGAAGAGGATGATAGTTTCTTGTTTCAGATGAGGAGATCACTTCATGACTCTGTCAATACAGTTTTGGAGGCTGAGCTTATAGCATTGAAGCGAGGACTAACCGAAGCTGTAATTTTGGGGATCAATCATATCACAATTTACTGCGATAATTATCAGATTTTTGAATTGGTAAGTTTTCTTGGCTGATAAGTTTCACATGTCTTTCATTCAGTCTCGTAATTTATGTTTTTTACCTTGAATGTTTTAGGTCATGGAAAGATCCGCGCCTGAGCAAGAGAACATCGCCTTGATAATGAATGATGTGCAACGTATCAGACAACAATTAACATCTAGCATTCCTGTTCTTGTGAATGGAAATCATCAAGCTAAGTTAGGTTACAAACTTGCAATGGAATCAATAAACATACTGTACATACGTATGCCTCCTGCTCATAAGAACACTTGCGGTATCTGTTTCAATGATAATATCAAAGCTGAGAAGATGTTTTCCGTTGCATTATGTCGTCATCAATTCTGCGTGGATTGCTTGAACCCACATATAGAAGTGGAACTAGTAGAGGGAAGAAGTGTACCGACATGTCCTCATTACGGCTGCAAATCGAACTTGAATCTTAGAAGCTGTGCCTATCTTTTGACACCTAAGATACAAAAGATGTGGGAACGAAGGATCAAACAAGACTCAATTCCTGAATGGGACAGATTTCATTGCCCAAAACCAAGTTGCTCGGCTTGGATGTCGAAAACTAAGCTCTTTGAATCTACCGAAGAAGAGGGAGTTAGGAGATGTTGTTTTAAATGTCGTACACCCTTTTGCATTAACTGCAAAGTTCCGTGGCATAGTAACTTGTCGTGCGACGAATACAAGAATTCGCTTCCAAAGCCTACTACAACAGTGTGGCATCAATGTAGAAGTTGCCAACACATGATCGAACTATCGGAAAAACACTCTAAAATAACTTGCAGGTATCATCTCTAATCACATTCTATAGCTAATTATGATTATAATAAATCCTTTTTGGAGTTTGATTAACTAATGTAATGTTCATGGTTAATGTGTTTAGGTGTGGCTATACGTTTTGCTACATATGTGGAGCTCAATGGAAGCTTAGAGGTTGCTCTCATCATCGCCAATCGGATATGCATGTGTTGCTGCTTGCCTATTTTCCCTTTATTCTTTTAATAATTGTTTTCTCAATTCATCTAATTGGCTCCCACTTGTAACACGTTTTTAATGCAATTATGTAAGAATTTAATAAAATTTGCATAATATTTACCAAAACACAAAAAGTCAAAAACGCAGAATTTGCATTTTCGTCTAAAAATTATAAGTAAAAATTCATTATGCAAATAAATGAAGGGAGATTGACACAAATAACTCCAAAAAAATTGTTTTTTCCAAAAATAACACCTCATTTGAAAAGTTCCACAAATAGCACCATAAACTTCAATTAAACTTAATGAAAATATAAGATAGAAAATAAAAAAGAGAGCAAACACTAATCTAATATTAAATTGAATCAAAATTGTTTTAAATAGTGGAAATATATACCCTAATTTGGAAATAGGGAACCCAAATATAATACCACAAACTAATATTAAAATAAAAATCTCTTTTAAATGGTGAAAATATATACCCTAAATTGGAATTAGGGAACCCAAATATAATACCATAAACTAATATTAAAATGAATCAAAATCTCTTTTAAATGGTAGAAATATATACCCTAAATTGGAAATAGAGAACCCAAATATAATATTTTAAATTTATTTCTAATTTATTTTGTTGAATAGCTTTTATATAAAAGTTGTGGTATTATTGAAAAAAAAAAGCTAATGATAAAATTTTTAGAACAAAAACACTAATAGTAAGTTAACTAGTGCTATTTTTGGAAGTTTATGGAGTGTGTGCTATTATTGTCAATAAAACTTGTTTTAGGGCCATTTTTAGGAATTTCTCATAAATGAATATATAGTTGTTTATTTCATTATGCTATTTTTCATTTTTTTAAGTTTTCATTATGCAAATATTCATTCTACTACTTATTTTTTAAAATACTACTTTTCCCATTTCTTCTTTGGAATTTGTCTTTGTTAATTTTTGGATTGTTTTTTCATTATTATGAATATTGGTTTTTTTTTTTTTTGGGTCTGTACTCTGTAGTACTAAAATTAATAAGAAAACAAAAATCAACAAAATTCGATTTTATTTGTTATTATCTGTAAAAGGGAAAATAAAATAAAAAGTAAATAAAAGAAGACCAAAGTCAATCAAGCCCAGTCTTTCTCAGAACGCTTCGTCTTTCCTTCTTAACCAAGGTAACCGCACTTGCTACTCTCTACTCGAAACCCTAATGGCGGCGATTGAAGACGACGAAGTCTCTCTGATACTCGAAGAACAGCGTGAAGAAATCATGGCGGCTAAAACCCTAGCCCGCGACCACGATTTAGCTTTCAATCTCCAAATGCAAGAAGCCCTAGCGGTTTCTCGAGCAGCCCACACTTCCTCCGTCCCGGATTCTCCCACCGGAGACGCCGCAACCGTCGATTTCACCGGCGCGGAGGAAGAATTCGACTTCACTTCTCTGATTCTACAAGACATTGCTCGAGCCGATCAAGAGAGGAGAGATCGTGAGTTTGGTGAACAGGAGATGAAGAGACTGAAAGTTGATCTCGACCGTCGGATTCATGATCAGAAGTTTGCTAAAGAGCTTATGAATATCCCTGAAGGAGATTGGAGTAAACACGGTGACAATTACCAAAAGCCTTACTCTCTGGGTGCTGGGTCTTCTTCGTCCTCTGCGATTGGGAATGAGAGCTTTAGGGTTTATTGTAAAGGTTTGGTGAGTGAAGAGATGATTGGAGATACGAGAGCTGTGGTTGGTGGTGTTGGTGTTGCGATTTGTGATTCGACTGATAATTTGATTTGGGAAGTGAAGAAGGTTTTGGGAGCTGAAGAGTCTAAAAGCCCTGAAATTGCGGAATTGGAGGCGCTTGTTCATGGGTTAGATGAAGCTTTGACATTTGATTTGGGAAGAGTTACGTTTTTCATTGATCATTTCAAGGTCTTCCAATACGTGAGTGATCTCTAATGAAACCTTAACGTTTGTTCTTTTAGAAATTAGTCACCTTTCATTGATAAAAGTTTTAAATTTTTCTTTATGAGTGTGACTTATTTAGAAATTAGTCAGCTTTCTTGGACTTGAAAAGTTTTTACTACTTTAATAAGTTGCTAATTTGGTGTATTATACTATTGTTCTTGTCTCTTTGTTTGTTTGTGATACTTAGTGGGTATGTCTCTGCATTCTTATACTTAGAAACCTATTATTTTTATTTAGCAATCAGCTTTCATTAAAAAGGAAATGAATTTGTGATACTTAATGCATATGGTTCTGCATAGTCATTTGCAAATCTTCTAACTAGAATTTGGGTTATGGCACCTATTGGGTTCTGTTCGAGCTTTAGAGATGCACCATTGAATTATAGCTGCAAAACTTATTAGTTTATTTCCTGTGACTTTATCTTTATTAAAACTATTATGCTTTGATATGGCTGGTCATGTTTGGCTCTGTAATCTAGGTGACAGGTAGGGTGGAACCGAGGCAAAGCGTTGTTGCGACACTTGTGAATCAAGTGGCTGTTCTCCAAAAGAAATTCTCATATTGCCAACCATCACTTTTGACAAGAAATGATGTTAAGTTTGTCTTCAAGCTTGCAAGAGATGCTATTGTGTCCCAAATCAAGTGGCCTGAGGAAACTAGTAAAGGCAAGACCTTCAAGGAAACTTGTGTGATTTGTTACGAAGGCATCACTGTTGACAAGATGTTTTCGGTAGATGGTTGTTTCCACCGTTTCTGCTTTTCCTGCATGAAACAGCATGTGGAAGTGAAGCTACTAGGAGGACAAACTGCTAGTTGTCCGAGCGAAGGGTGCAAATCAGAAGTAAAGATTGAATGCTGTGCAAAATTTTTGGATCCTAAGCTGGTTAATGTGATGATCCAACGCAAGAAAGAAGGCTCAATTGGTGTTACAGATAAAGTTTACTGTCCATATCCTAAATGTTCGGAGCTGATGGTCAAAGCCGAAGTCTTGGAATATACCAAACAGTTTTTCGTTGGTGCTGAGCAATCTGGAGCAAGAAAATGCATGAAATGTGGGCATTTTTTCTGCACCCAGTGCAAGGTACCGTGGCACTATAACGTCACCTGCAATGACTTCAGTAAAACAAAGGGCTATCAGAATGCTGGTGATGGAATGCTGAAGTCTCTGGCACAGAGCAAGCGGTGGAGACAATGCATTAAGTGTAACAACATGGTTGAGCTTGTGTGGGGATGCTACCATATAACCTGCAGGTACGCCGTTCTTACTTATTAGATTGATCAGTTTTCTTACAAAATAATTGGTATCGAGTCTACTTCCCACTTCCCAGTGGTACACTAAGAAGTTGTAAGTTATATATAATAAAAGAATTGGAGTGCATTAGAAATTCTGGTTCCTGGATAACGAAAAGGGAGACCAGGTTTGGTCATTTGTTACTATTATTGATTCAATGATTTGTTTTTGCGGATTGCAGATGCGGATATGAGTTTTGTTACACATGTGGAGCTGAATGGAAGAAGAAGAAAGCAACATGTTCGTGCCCGATCTGGGATGAGCGCAACATAATCCGTGAAAGGAATGCGATCCCCCCTAGGAGGTGACTGTTTCTTCTGTTGCGTGAAAAAATTAGGTAGCTTAATCTTATTTTGGAATCAAAAGACCAGTAGTGGTTAGCTTGGGTTTTAGTGGTTTTTCGAGCTGATCCAGACTTCGGTATTTTAGTTTCGATCTTCTATTTCGGTTTGTTGATGCTAGGAAAAGAAATGACATTTTTAACTTGAATGTTCAAGATCGGAGGTTAAATTGAAACTTGTCATCTCCGGATGAAACTGAAATGGTTCTGTTTAACGCACTAATCTCTTGCAGGTATCAGAGTTTTTAGTTTATTCAGATGTGTTGGTTTGGTTTGATCAGATTAAAAATTTGGTTTAGTTTTGAATCACTTTTTCGGTTTGGAACTGGATCCACTCTTTTACAGTTTTACTCCAAGACTGCAAGTGGACCAAGTCAATAGTACCATTTATAAGTTGACAAAATTCAAAATTCAGACGGTGTAAATTCCTAAACGGTGTCGTTTAACAAACCCTGTAAATTAATTAATAATTTATATAAAAAATTAACAAAATTAGTCTACATCATTTACTTCCAAAACGGCGTCGTTTACATCGATAACGAGGTCGTACCGATTCCTTCACGAGCATTTCCATCACCGTCGCGAAATCTCTCGGCCGTGATGATGTCGCAGTTTTCTTTCTCAGGGGCGGCGCATGGCGACACTGTGTTTCTTTCCCATCCGCTCGATTTCATTTTGCGTATCTGGTGATGATTTTAAAATTGAGGAGATTTTTTTCTCTGCGCCATGGCGGCGAAGTAAGCTTCGCTTGAGATTCATCTGAAAAATGCAGCAAATGTTGATGCACATCTTTTGTTATTCAAGTCAAATCTTTATGATTTTTGCCACTACAGTATCTTGTCCGTTCAATTTCTGTCTGATAATCATGTCAAAATTGATGGCTTTTTCATTGTTTGGGGTTGATGACAACACGAGAGCTGCAAATCATAGGTATCAAATTCCAAAGACGAGGACTTACAAGTTTTTGTAAACTGTTTTCTTGGAATATGAGTTGTTTCTTTGTTAGGATTTATTTACTTATACCTGCAAATATATTGGAGTTAAGAAGAAGCCAGTGGATACACTTATTTAACTAGAGATTCTGATTTTAGTATTGTGGGGTTTGTTCTTGATGATAGTGGAGAATATTGTTAAACCATGGAATGATAGAGAAGTCTCAGTTTGTTTTATATTATAGCTAGCTTTTGTTTAATATTTAGGAGATGAAAATAGGTGATGGCTTATTTCATTGTTGTCTGGTTATATATATCATTACCTTTCCTATGTCAACTCTGAAATGCTCAGAGATAAGATGTTTTCATTGCTCTTAGACTAATTCAATGGATACAAGAAATGTTAAGAAATTATGGTGGATTTGGCTTTGACATTGGAAAAAGATTGGATGTTGTATTATATAGTGAAAAGGTTTTGACCTGGCCGTGTTTTGCAGCTGGAGAAAATTTCATCGACCATTGGTGCAAAAGACAATTTCTTTCAGAATAGTCAGACTCTCTGTTTCTTCAGAAATGGCTCAAGAATTGCATCTTATCTGGATGATTTTCTGTGTTCATCTGATTTGCATCTCAAGTCAAGAGGAGACAGGGTTTATCTATAAAGGTTTTGGCGAAACAGACCATGGAGTTGCCAAAGGATTGTTGCAGTTGACCTATGGATCCAGACTGAAAATGGGTCATACATTCTTCAAGAACCCTTTTGAGTTCAGTTCAACTCGATTACTCTCTTTCTCAACACAATTGGTGTGTGCACTGTTGTCTAAGGCAGGATTTGTTTGTGGTCATGGTACAGCCTTTCTTGTACCAGAACTCGTTTTACCGGCAATCATAATGTATTTGGCTCTTGTAGCAGTTATTGTCTATTTGGAAAAGAATTACGCAAAGCCAAGAGAAGAATGGGAAAAAGAAGACAATGGTCCACGGCGTTTTACCTATAAATCTCTATATATGGCAACAAAAGGGTTTAACAAGAATGGACTTGTCAGAAAAAGATGTTTTGGAGGAGTAAACAGAGGAACTCCGATAGAGACGAGAAGAGAAAGAAGAAGAAAGGAGAGGAAGTATCGAAACTGAATCAACTCTCAAGAACATTGTGGAAACTATTTGTTTGGGTTCTTTCTCAATCTCTCAACAATCCGTTTGAGTTTAACCGATATAGTGATATGTATACATTTCATATTTGAAGCTGTAACAGAAGAATACTTATGCCACTTTATACAGCTCTTTTGCACTACTTGTCTCTGTAACTTTATGTGTTTGCGTTCTTTCAATTTTTCGCAATGGAGAAACCTAAAAGCTTCAGTGTAGTATGTCCACCGATATCGCACCGATAATGTTGTGAGTTGATAGGGCTATATTGATCAATCTTCTCCCAGCAGGTAGCAAATGTGATGCATGTCTCCTGTTCTTCAAGTCAACTCTTTGGGATTTGCCACTGCAGTATATTGTCCGTTCGATTTCTGCGTGATAATCATGTCCAATTGATGGCTTTTCCGTTCAAAATTATAGGTAGCAATGCTGAAGAAGAGGATGTCAGCCAAATTTACATTAGGAAGCTTTGGTGGGAACATGATGGACTTTTTAGCATTGTTCATATTTGGTGGGAGCATGAAGGACTTGCCTTGAATTCAGCTTGGTATGATAAATATTTTATTGATTTTGGTGCATATGCCTAGACAATAGATAACTATTGATTGTTTTCTTGGACTTTGAATTGTCTACTCTGTTGGAAAGAATTTGTTTATAATTGGAGTTAAGAATAGTTCAAGTATTTGACAAAGCTAGTAAACATACTTGTTTAACTAAAGATTCTGACTTCAGGATGATAGGAGAGTAGTGGAGAATATTCTTAAGCCAGGGAATGATAGACAAGTCTCAATATTATAGCCACCTTTAGTTTAATAATTTAGGAGCTGTTATGTTTAAAATATGTGATTGATTAGAATATGCAAATGCAGGATGTCACTGGTGTCTGGTTAAGATTATCATTACATTTACTAAGTCAACTTTGAAATGCTCAGACATAAATTGTTTTCATTGCTCTCGACGAATTCAATGGGTAGAAATGTTAAGAAATTATGATTGACTTGGCCATGAAAAAGATTGGACTTTATATTATATACTGAGAAGTTTTGACCTGACTGTGTTTTACAGAGGGATACATTATTATCCACCATTGGTGCAGAAGACAAGATTCGTTAAGAATATTCAGACTCTCTGTTTTTTGTTAGAAATGGCTCAAGGATTGCATCTGATGTGGGTAATCTTCTGTGTTCATCTAATTTGCATCTCAAGTCAACAAGAGACAGAGTTTATCTATAATGGCTTTGGCCAAGCAGATCTTTATACTGATGGGGTTGCCAAAATTCTTCCTAAAGGATTGTTGCAGTTGACCGATGGTTCCGGACAGAAAATGGGTCATGCCTTCTTCAAGAAGCCTTTTGAGTTCAATTCATCTGAATCATTCTCTTTCTCAACACATTTTGTGTGTGCGCTGGTGCATAAGCCAGGATTTATTGGTGGTCATGGTATTGCCTTTGTTTTATCTGCTTCCATGGATCTCACACATGCAGACGCAACACAGTTCTTGGGACTTTTTAACATCTCGACTCAAGGATCCCCTTCTTCTCATCTAGTTGCCGTTGAGCTAGACACTGCCCTCAGCGCTGAGTTTGATGACATTGATGCCAATCATGTTGGAATTGATGTCAATAGCCTTATGTCTATCGCATCTACTACGGCGGCTTACTTTTCCGAGATAGATGGGGAGAACAAAAGCATAAAGCTTTTGAGTGGAGATCCTATTCAAGTTTGGGTGGACTATGGAGGAAATGTACTTAATGTTACGTTGGCCCCTCTTAAAATTCAGAAGCCAAGCCGGCCTCTTTTGTCAAGATCCATCAACCTTTCAGAAACATTTCCCGATAGAAAGCTCTTTCTTGGGTTCTCTGGAGCAACAGGGACATTGATCAGCTACCAATACATACTCGGGTGGAGTTTTAGCAGAAACAAGGTGTCATTGCAGACCCTTGATGTCACTAAACTTCCTCGAGTTCCTCATCCTAGAGCTAAAAATAAGAGACCATCAGTGGTGCTTATTGTTCTGCTCATTTTACTAGCAATCATAGTGTTTTTGGCTCTTGGAGCAGCATATGTTTACAGGAGAAGGAAATATGCAGAAATAAGAGAAGAATGGGAAAAAGAATATGGTCCACACCGTTTTTCTTATAAAGATCTGTACACTGCAACGAATGGGTTTAACAAGGATGGACTTCTTGGAAAAGGAGGTTTTGGAAAAGTGTACAAAGGAACTCTGCCTTCCAAAGGACAAATAGCAGTGAAAAGAGTGTCCCACAATGCAGAGGAAGGGATGAAGCAGTTTGTGGCTGAAATCGTGAGCATGGGTAATCTGAAGCACAAGAATATGGTTCCACTTCATGGGTATTGTAGAAGAAAAGGTGAGTTACTTCTGGTATCTGAATACATGCCCAATGGTAGTCTTGACCAATACTTATTCAATGACGAAAAACCGCCATTTTCATGGCGTCGAAGACTTGTAATCATCAAGGATATAGCTTCAGCTCTCAACTACATGCATACAGGAGCTCCCCAAGTTGTTCTCCACCGGGATATCAAGGCTTCTAACGTTATGTTAGACGCTGAATATAATGGAAGGTTAGGGGACTTTGGTATGGCAAGGTTTCATGATCATGGGGCAGACCCTGCTACAACTGCCGCTGTGGGAACCATTGGCTACATGGCACCAGAGCTTGCTACAGGGGGAGCTTGCAAGGCCACTGATGTGTATGGCTTTGGTGCCTTTTTACTTGAAGTAACATGTGGGAGGAGACCTGTGGAACCTGGGTTGCCAGCTGAAAGATGGTATATAGTTAAGTGGGTCTGCGAATGTTGGAAAATGGCTTCTTTGCTGGGAGCTAGAGATCCAAGAATGAGAGGTGAAATCTCAGCTGAGGAAGTTGAAATGGTACTGAAACTAGGGTTGCTTTGCACAAATGGTGTGCCAGAACTGAGACCTTCTATGGAAGATATTGTTCAATACTTAAACGGAAGCTTAGAGCTGCCTGATATCTCTCCAAATTCTCCTGGTATCGGGTCCTTTACCCCGCTGATTATCGGATCAGACCCCCTCCCT